CCCTCTGAACGAGTTTCACTCGTCGAATCGCTTCAGAACTTGCAAACGCTTATCATTGAGGCAGCTGGGAAAGAAGCCATGTCAGGATGGTTTTTCGACCATCAAGAGGACGCGATGGCTTTAGTTTCAGACTTCCTCTCAGCACTTCTCCAGTCTTCTGGTGTCGAGGATCTCACCATATCTTCTTTCAATTTACGCAGTTTAAATGAACTCCTCACCGGAGCACATAACCAATCTCTGAAACGCCTACATCTGGTCGGTGCTCGGTTGAGAGCTGGCATACTCGGAGAATACCTGGCCCGCGTTAAAGGCCCATGCGATGTTGTCTTGGAACAAGTGGAAATACTTGGTGGGAGATGGGCAGACCAAGCTGATGAGCTGCGGAGTCTATCAAGGGCCTCGACTACAGTTGTCCAGCCCTTTGGCGACGAGTTTCGTCGTGGTCGGGCTACAAACGTGTGCAATGCTGAGGAGGAGAGGATGCTTAATAATTATCTCCAGAGGGCAAGTTCTGTCAATCCTCTCAGAAATAGAAACATCTAGTATGGCACTGCATCAAAATTTATGATATCTCATCTCATCTCATCTCTTATCGATCCACCAAAAATCACTTATTAAGTCGGTTTAGCTCTTGTAATTGCACTATGCATGGCGTTTTATGACGCTGCGACTCAGCAAGGACTGTTTGGGAGTGCATGCCCCCCTGCCGATACAGGGCGGAATGGGGACCCGAGGCGCGGAACCATAATTTCACGCTACCTTGCCGAAGCCGAGATAAGCGCTGGCCTCCAGTCAGCCCAAGGCTTTTCAGAGGCTCAGATTGGGGACTTGACCCCAGTAGATGGAAATGGACTGGGCGTTTTTCTTGCCTCCTGCATCGTTAGGCATTACATCTCACAAAGTCTGAGGCCGCCTGTTGCGCTCATCACGACTGCTGGTAGACTTGTAATAGCGTCGTTATTTTGTTTCTCGAACACTCGTATCTTGCCGAAAGACAGCGACACTATCATACTGTACACCCCATCACTCAGTCACATGCCACAAACACTCTTCCTCATCCGATTCAGACTGAAAACAACCATTTATCGGCACCATGGACTTTTTGAATCGCCTCCTCGGTAGAAACACTGATACCAAGTACAAGTATCGCGGCGCCAAACTCCCCAAGGAGCCTCTGACGCCGCGCGAGATTGAGGAAATGCACAGGAAGCTGAATCCCGATACGCACAGAGATAACGCGTGGGAGCCAGAGCCCACTCTTGACCCTCGCGACTGGAGTGTGCCCTATACTCAATCGCTGGAAGAAAAGCTCTCTGCTGTCGGCTCGCTACAAGATGTGCAATCGGAATCATTGCTGTTCGGCAGGTTACCAATGGAAGTGCGCATGCAGATCTGGCGCCTTGTCATGGGGAATCATAAGGTGCACTTGACTGTGCATCGTGGCAGACTCAGGCAGTCTTCGTTTGAGTCGGAGAATTATCAGTGGTTACCGCAAAGAGGGCTCTTGAGAGTCCCGCTGATTTGCCGCGCAGCGTATGTACCCTCCCAATTTCGCCATGAAGCAATACTGACCTTATATCTTAGATACATGGAGTCTATCTCGTACCTCTACTCTGACAACACCTTCTGCTTCGGCTTCGGCCAAGCCAGCTCAAAGTCAGCACTCACATTGCTAGACACTATGCTTCCCAAGCAGCACGTTGTTTCCATGCAACACATGGAAATCGGATGGCATCTATATGCCGGCGTGAGTCAGTACTACGACAGCCACCCTCAAGCCTGGGACATTACGCTGGACGTCCCAGCACCCGAGACTGAAACGCTATGGAATAATGTCTCCGCTGAGCTCGTCAAACTATCGCCACTGCGGACGCTGCGGATAGTGGTTTGGCTGTCTGGTGATGGGAGAGCGCAGTTTGTGGGGATGGAAAAAGACATGCTTGCACCGCTGGTTGCGATAGGACATTTGGAGCGGTTTGATGTTCATTTACCCTGGAAACAGGATAATACTGAGATGTGGAATGATGCACCGTTCAAGGTTTCCAGGCGATTCAGGGTCAAGGAGATGTATGGTGTGAGCATTCCGTTGCTCGATGATGACTTTTACTGGTCGGGGTCGGCTACTCAACATAGGATATATAGATAAGCATTTAGAAATTTTAGAGTAAGGCGGCTTTATCTCTGCCAACTCAGTCACTTCTCGAGTCATTAACGACGAAAATAAGAAGTCAATACTGGGCTGTCATCGCAGGCACTGCTCCATAGCAATAGACCATGGACCTAGGTATCTTCTCCCCCATGGGCTTCCATCTGATGGACGTCCTTGCAGAATTGACAGTAGAACTGCCACCTCATTGCACCATAAACCCACCCAAGCCCATCAACATATAACGGATACAGACCATCGTGAGACTGTGGCCGGATATCTGAGCACATGCAACAAACCCCATATCCGATACAAAACCCTTTTCTCCAATGCTCACAAAGCTCGATCGCTGATCGCATTATATCATACCCTTTCTCTGCCTTCTGGCATCCCTCGCAATACTTTACCCACCGCGGCGCCTCGCGGTCCCAGCCCGTGCCGTCGATGTACCGTGGGTAGCGACCGTCCGGGCGCAGTGGCCGTGAGTCCGCACAGGTGCAGCACTGTCTTGGTGTTCTGTATCTGGTACAGTAACGCTGTTTATAGTGGTCGCAGGGGCGATGATATGAGTAGAATGTGCATTTTTGTATCTTTTCAGTTTCGCCGTTGGCTTGTTTCTGAAGACGATAGGGCATACTGGACTGATACAAGGGCACAATAACTAAGCTCTTCAATTCTAAGGGGGCCTGTGACGGTGAAGAAGAGATGCTGTAATTACGAGGCTGCGGAGGGGATTATTCAAAGGGTCTAGCGTTGCATCTACAAGATGACCGACTGTTTTTGAAGTTGGAGTCATCTTTTGTCTATGTTTGATAGATCCGCAGGAACTAAGTCTTTGTGACTCATGGCAGAGGCTGCCTGATCAGCATTGGTTGGAATAGCCTTACCAGTGGCTGTGCTCGACTAGTGAAGGCCTAGCGGCACCCAACCCATTGCGACATGCCAGACGGGTAATGGAACCAATTCCGCCCAACTTCCAAGTCACCCTACATTCTTCACCCCTAATTTCCAACCTAAATCTCATTTAATTTCATTACTCACAGAATGACGCACCTTCCGCAGCATCCAAGCCATGTGCAGGACACCTGGTGGCAAAGCTATGAAAGAAGAATCGACGACAAATTTGAGTTTTATTCTATGCCATTGACCTTTTTGTTATGCTGCTGTGGTTGCGGGATACCTTGCCAAGATATTTGGAACTATTCGCGCCAGCTTCCACAGAATATCGTGCAGGGCATCCGTCGCAAGGCCAAGGCTAGAAAAGACCGCAAATACTATCGGGATCTGGTAGCTGGACTCAATGCTCCCATTCCAAGACCGACAGCGGGCATCCAACCAAGAGACAACGAGCAGCTTCAATCATATCTATTCCGGCTGCCACTGCAAGTTCGTCTGCGGATATGGGAGTACTGCATTGGCCAGAGGTTTATCTATGCGCCCATCTATAACCGCAGCCGGCATAATTTTGCGACACGCGTTGCTTCGTATCGAGAGCCTTGGCCCTTGGCAATACACCCACGTTCTCAGTCAGAACTTGCTGATACTTTGAGTTCTGCTTGGCGACCTCTGGACATGATCTTGCTACCTGATATACCGGCAGAGCCGGAGTTGATAGAGCCGAAACAATCAGTGGCGTTTGGTAGCGCTGGAGCCTTTCTTACGGAGGAACAAACCGCTAACTCTAGCACAAAATGGAAAAGCTTAGAGCTCCTCCTGAGCTGCAAGGCTATACACGCCGAGGCCGCCCATGTACTGTTTTCACACAACGCGTTTTCGTTTACATACCTACCTCATTTATCTGCCTTCAGATTACACCAAGGTCCGCGTTGGCACTACTTGCGCTTTCTGCACCTAGATCTCATCCTCGGCCCATCCGTCAGCATTCCAGGTGTTGTCGATCAGGCAGCCTGGAGAGCATTATGGACCATGATTTCGAGGGGGAGTACTAGCCTGCAGGTGCTGGATGTCGACATTCATGTTCCTATGAATCTTACCGTTGAGCGCTGGCTTAGTTATCGCGGCGAAAGCTGGAGAGCTCGTGATCAATTCTTTCAGAGTCTCCCGACTTGGGCAGATGATTTAATGGTTCTTCGGGATATTCGACATGCCCGATTTAAATTGGATGCTGAGCGACTTGGTGAATTTCGTGATTACACCTCTTGGCCATATGCTTCAAGGGTCTTGAAATTTCGTGAACGAGTGGTTTACGTTCAGCAAAGAATGACTGGGGCATCTAATTCTCCTCTCTTAGTTTAATGAACTTCTTATATCTTACTGGCATTAATATAGTAATAGTGGCCTGACTAATAGCTATAATTAACTAGTCGAGGCCTAGCAGGCACGTAGGGCATTTATGCCAGATGGGTAGGTGGGTAGTAGAGCCAACTCCATTCTTGTGCCCTGATAGGGATGACTCAATGACCAGAGACGCTGTCGGCCGCACCTACGTTAAATTCGGCGCGTCGACAGCTAACTCTCTGCCGTTATAACCTCCGGGGCCGGCTTCAGCATGGTTGGCGTGGGCATTGATCGCCTTCAAAAACGACCATAGGCATAGCGCGGTGAAATGAGAGATGTTGGGGAGGAGGGTTAAAATATCTGAACGTCAGTATGCATACATTTGGGGCAGGAAAGAAGGAATTGATATTAAAATTTAAATACTAAAATGAACAGAGACACTATAGATTATCCTAACCCTTAACTCGTCTGCTTCAATTACTGATGCTTGGCAGTTTGGAGTAACAAACACCATAGAAACGCTAATCAAGGACATTTCATTGGGATGATGGTACCATTCTCAGCCTTGTCCTAAGCCATGTTGCCTGCATTCAGGGTCTCTGGGTCACCCGTTGGCTCACTCTTGATAGGGTCTTCTGGTTTTTTTGAGCGGGATCCAGCGAATCAACGGCCAAGTTAGTACCGTTGTTGAGCAGAGAACGAGCCCAATCAGAAATGCTTTAGTGATGCCCCTCTTATATGCGTTGACTGCGATATCAAGTTCTTGATGATCAAGCTTGTCTCTGAAGGACCGAAAGTTGCTAAGTAGAGTGTGGCGATCGAGATTTGGAATCATCTCGGTGACTCTCCTCATCTCACCGAGAAACAAGGTCTGAGATACGGCTATGAAGATGGAACCTGCCAGGGTGTTGACCAGCATAACGGCTGAAGTTGCATATGCGATATCGTTACGATCAACTGCAACTTGAACGCCGACAATGGCTTGTTGAATGCCTGTTCCAGATCCTGCACCAAAGAGAATCTGGTACCCGATCCATTTGAACGTTGAGATGCCAGGATGAAGCGTATACAGCATACCAGCACCAACCGATGAGAAGATGGTTGCAAAGAATACAAATGGCGGGAGGTAGCCCACAACCCCAGCACTTCCTCCCGCTATGACAGAAACGACAATGACAGATACGACCATGCCGAGGAGTCGAGTTCCAGATTCAGCGGCCGACACTCCTTGAACAGCCTGGAACCACATTGGCAGCTGTATAGGCTATGTCAGCAGGCAACAAGTAGTAGACAAATGCTAATGGGGCGACTTACGTAGTACAGAACAGTGAATTGGGCACCGCCAAAACAGAGACCACACAGGAGGAACATGGAGAAAGTCCTGTTCTTGAGTAGTCTTGTGGGAAACGTAGCCGCCTCCCCTTTCCATTGTTGGTGGACGGCAACACAAATGAGAGAGACGCCAAACACGACGAAAAGAACAATGATACGAGCATCGCTCCATGGGTATGACGAACCTCCCCATTCAAGTGCAATCAGCAGACATGTTATGCTTCCAGCGATAGCCAGACCGCCCTCAAGGTCTAACTGGGCAAGCTTCTGCGTCCAGGTCTTCCCAGTCTGCTCCTGCTTTTGCTCAGGCGTTCGCTTAGGAGGGTGGAAACAGAAGACAAGGATGGCACAGAGGACAGCGCCGATGGGAAGATTAATCCAGAAACACCATCTCCAGCCTATACTGCTCGCGTTTTGTCCTCCGATGATGGGACCGATGATGACTCCAACGCCTTCAAGTGAACCCAGGACGGCTGTGTAGACTGGTCGGTGCTTCAGAGGCGTAGTCAGGGCCGTGATGCTGCCGAGAACGTATTAGTAGATGAATATGCATGCCAACAGTTGCCACAATTACATGAGACCACCCGAAATAGCACCAGCAGCACCAAGGCCTGCAATTGCTCGGCCAGCGATAAAGGTAGGAGAGTTCTTTGCCAGTGCGCAGACAAGAGAGCCGACTTCGAGGATGGCCACCGAGGAGAGGAAGACGAATTTGCGTTGAAATGTTGAGTAAATCTTGCCGAAGACGGGCTGAATGGCACCTGTGACAAGGAGGCTAGGTAGCAGTGTACGGTGAGCAGGAGCCAGGAGTGTTCTGTAAGAGGATGATACGTACTATGCCGAGCCATACCAGGCTGAAGAGCCTACCGAGTGGAAGTCGTCGGCGATAGTTGGGACGAGAGTTGCGACGATGATGGCATCCTAAGGGCTCGTGTTTAGTCGTGGCCATAGGCGGGTCGGAGTCGGGAAGCACCTACAAGAACGCCAACGAGAATGGCTAAGCCTAAAGCGAATATGATCAGGTTTCTACTTGCGGCTGAAGGAATTTGAGGATCGCGTTGGACATCTGTATCAGAATTGGAACTAGTAGTATTGGTTTCTTTGGTAGCGGGTGTAGGTGCTGGTGGAGATGCTTTCGTGGCTACGCTGATATCTTCCATGCTGCAGGTTTCTCAGCAGGCAAGGAATAAGGGGAGCAGAAAACGCTGTATAACGAGTAGCTAGAACAGTATGGTGATACTCCCACGGATACATTAGAACCCCTTCTAAGGTGTTCCAAAGCGACGTATGGTTCTGAGTGTCGAGGTTCTTATAACAGTCAGATAAACATGACTTCGCTTGCCGCAAATCTCTACCTGCCGATACGACCGAGTGCCAACTGCCGCAGAGCGTCGTGGCACCGCACCCGCGGGCCTGAGGCCCCGAGTCCCCGGTTCCTCGCTTCATCACTTCCCCGCAGCCTCGCGCGCTGACGAGAGCTGAGATCATCCATTTGTGGGTCAAGTAGCGGTAATAGAAGAGATGACCAAGAAATTGATCTCACTGAAAAATAATGAAAGCATAACTATCACTATTACTAATTATTACTCCGTCATTCACGCACGGCGGAGAAGGCTGGGCGAGGAGAGGACGAGGACACGGAAATAGGAGGGCTAGATTCAACCTCTGCTTGCCATCACAGCTATAGCGTTTACAATTTTCGTGGCTGTAGTATTAGCAGTTCTAGCATTCACTCATTGCAAGAGAGTTTACCTTGTACTGATCGATCACCGGAACCGCGAATTAAATCGTACTGCGAAACAATGGCTATAGAAATGATAGACGGAAAAGTCCTTGCGTGCAATCTCGATGCGTTTGCCGGTAGAGATACAGACTCAACCGACATCAACGAACAAGCTATCGAACGGCCCTCGGCGGTCCCATCCGCTGTGACTTTGGAGGCTGCTTGGTCCGTGACACTGCGTCTTTACACTGGCCTCGATCATGTATCTTTTGGATCTTTAGCCCAAGATGGCACTGTTGCTACTAGGATCTGTAACTTTAGGGCTCACGATACCCTGGAGGATATCCACGCCAATGTCCGGCTTTGTGACTACAGTGACGACACGGTTTGCCATTACAACACGGCAGTAATTTACAAGTTGGATGAAAATGGCGGAAATAAGGTATCGGAACTGATCCCACGAAGAATCGTCGTCAATGTCATCGGAGTTCCTTACCACGAGGTGGTATCTGAATTGCCAGATATCGACACCACTTCCCTTAATTTCGACATCCCTGCCATTAGGCTGTTTACATCTGGCAGTACTGGGACACCTAAGGGAATCGTCGCCACACACACCACAATCTGCACCGGGGCATCTTGTATGCTTGCCATATTGTGGCTGATGACAAGATCGGCATCCTCCAGTTTGCCTCATACACCTTGGACGTCTACATGGTGGATGTATTCACAGAGCTTCTGCACGGTGGCACTCTGTGCATTACTTCTGAAGAAGAGCGCATGGCTGGTCCCCAAGAATACATCTCGCGCACTCAACCCAACTGGGCAGCTCTGAGTCCGACAGTGGCTCGGTTCCTCGACCCGACTTTGTCTGCCAGATCCATCAGAAAGCTTCTCCTCGTCGGCGAGATGGTGAGAGAGTCTGACATTGCGGAATGGACTGACCCAGGTGTGCAGGTTTATAACGTCTATGGCCCAGCTGAGAACAACCTCATCACCACTGCCGCCAAGGCCATCAGGGCAGAGCTTCCAGCGTTGGAACCGGCATCAATACACACACGTGGGTTGTCGATGTCAAGAACAAGCGACTAGTCCCTATCGGTGCGGTCGGTGAACTCATCTGCACTGGGCCTCATCTTATACCTGGATACTTGAATGATCCCGAACGGACTACAAGCAGTTTCTTTGAGAATCCCGGCTGGATCCCCGACATGATTGAGAAAAAGCCTTTCTCTAGGCGTTTCTATCGCAGTGTGATCTCGTTCGTTACTGCGCTGATGGTTTGCTACATTACGTTGGGCGCCTGGACTCCCAAGTCATGCTTGGTGGGCAGAGGGAAGGGTGGAAATCAGCGATATTGAGTCGTGTATCAAGTCACACAATGCTGCTGTCTTAGTCCCCGAGGCTGGCCCCATCAAGAACAAGCTCACCGCCGTCCTTGAAGGGGCTGGTTCCCCAGGTCAGCCGCCCGCTGTCTCTCCGTGTGACCCCGGCGTGGCGCCCCATGTACAACAAGCTCTTCGAGACAATCTGCCGTCATACATGTGCCCGCCAACGTGGATCTCTGTCAAACATCTTCCATTATCATCTTCCGGGAAGCTGGATAGGAGGGTACTCACGAACAAACTTGAGACGCTCTGTCACGAGGAGTATTTGGGGCTTATCCTGGATCATGCCCAAGATGAGGATGATCAGCATGGCCATGAGGACGATAACTGCCGGAGGATCTTGCGTGAAGGTTGTATCCAAGTTCTCAATATCCCCGTCGAGAGAATTGCCATCTCAAAAGCATTTGCTGCCCATGGAGGAGACTCCATCACTGCCATTCATGTATCGTCTCTAATGAAGTGGACGCAGACTCTATTAGTAAGCTTCAAAGAACTCTTGACCTGCCCTTCCCTAGCTGAAGCAGCGTCGGGCATGAGAGAAGCAGTGACCTCAATACAGGTACCAGCTGCTCATCCAGGCAAATTGTATCCTCTATCACCAATTCAACTCCTTTTCTTGGAGATAGCACCTACCTCTGTAACGTGGAACCACTGCAACCAGAGCGTACTCTTGCGCCTTCGAGAGAGGAGGAGTTCAGACCATGTCAAGGAAACACTTGGTGGGGTGGTGCGAAGCCATGCCATGCTGCGAGGTTGCGTAACATTAACAATCATATTGCCAATTTTTCTACATCCCGTAGTGCATATAGGACTTATATAATTACAGTAGTTCTCTGCCAGTAACTCTATACTTGTTTCTTAAGCTTGGTGCGCCGTGTTAACTACTTAATATATAATAAAAAGAACTCTGACTTTATTTAGTATCTGCTTATATCTCGACCAATGGTACTGTAACACGACTCTGGTAATTATCACTGTCCAAGTGAAGATAATGTCTCCCAATGTTCCCTGTCTTAAAGCCGCCGCGTAGAGGTTCGAATTCCGCCAAAGTCATCTGATGACCAGCCACTCTGAAAATGAGCTTCTCTCCAGCTTCGAACTGGATAGCAGAAGGCCAAATTCCGATCTCTAACTTGACCACCTCTGAGCTTTGGAGTTTCGTCTCCTTGGTGTGATCATGGGCTGGCCAGTGTGGCTTTGATAAGTTTGGGTCAAGTGTCCGGTGACTTGCTCGCAGAACGCCAGTCGGACCAACATATTGCAGTGTGTTGATAAGAGCAACATCCTTCTGATCATTGACACCAACAAGATCCTGAATAGGAATGTTGTAGTTGCGCAAAATGTTTCCATCCTTGTCTGCCTTGCGTAGGATAACAAAGACGTCCATATCATCATAGTCAGAACATGACATATAAAGAACCGCACGGGCGGGACCGATCATGGTAGATTTCTCCGTAAAGGTGTACGAGAACTCGACGAACTCGGGATCGTCATCTTCTTGGAGGGCTGGGGCATCAGACTGATAGGAGACTTTTCCGGGGACCACCGACTCCTGGGCAGCTTCAAGGGCGCCATTTTGGGAGAGCCACAAAGTTCGATGCTGAGTTTCGGGTATCGGCCAATTGTCAAAAGGAACATTTTCAATAGGTGACTTAAAGTGAGGTTAGTTTCCAGACACTTGTAACAGTGAGACAGGAGTGTGCACCTGATTATACCGGATGACTGAGATTCGTACTTTAGGAGTCATTTCCCATCCGTTTTCTGCTCCTTTCATGTAAAAGTCAAGGAACTTTTTCAAATCTGCATTCGTGTCGTCTCGATACAGATCATGCCACTCCTGCGTGGCATTCATCCGCAGCCTGAGCCAGATACAACCTTGTCAGCAAAGGCAGTACAAACTCGAAGTGTATGAGACTGACCATTTCTTCTCGTGAGGGATATCCTCAAAGCATCGGATTGAGCCAACAGTGTGAAGACCAGTCGACATACTTGCTAACACGTATGCAGGCACTGTGATCAGATTGGCCTTGGCTCTTTTATCCTCCCAATAGTCATTCATCAGAGGATACTTGTTGATCATGGAGATTACATCCTCCCGTTCATTGTTGCCTAAGTCTACGTTAGTGATTCTGCATAGCAGTGCTATATGTCGCCAATAGCTGACTCACTGAATAGATTGTTGCCGAGGAATGACCAGAAGGGGAGGTACGGAACGCCACCTCTGCATAAAGTCTCTCGATAAACGTCACTCAAACCCTCAAGTGGTAAAATGCAAGTCAGATGTGGCGGTTGCTCAGCTGCAATGAACCATTGATTAGTTGCGAGCCATGAGTTGCCAGCCAAAGCGGTGTGACCATCAGACCATGGCAACTGTGCGATATATTCGATAGTATCATAGCCATCGCGGGCTTCAGCCTTCCCATGCCACCTGGGGAACTGTCAATACCTTGAAATTGATTTGAAGCAAAGGATGACTTACTTATGATGCCCTTCGGAGCCTTGTATGCCCCTGGTGGTGACGTTGACTACAGCGTATCCGTGCTGCGTCCATTCCGCTGGATCAGGCGCTTCGAAAGACTCGTAGCCTGAAAGCTTCTCTACAGGAACACCTGCCCGACCTTCTACATGATTAAGAGCCGAAAAGCCTGAGCAAGAAGAAAAAGATGTCAGCTTATGTGTGATGAAATGAGGAAAGAGAATAGATAACAGGGTTTGATCTTACCGTCTCCAGATTTCCCATATGGGCTGAAAGCAATTAAAGCTGGAAGCCCTTTGCTATTTGTGGGCCGAAAAACATCCCCCCGCAGAAGAATGCCATCACGCATAGGGATGGTAATATCTTTCTCCCAAATAGTGTCCACCGGGAAAGGGCGGAAACCCGGGCTTTGCCGGTGGCCTTTCTGCAAGATGGTGACAGAGGGTTTGATGCCGTTATATTTTGCGTTTGGACTGTCATTTGGGACAGCTGGGGTGAGCAGGACTGGGATGCCGGCAACGACGTATGGAGATGTCTCAGTGGCCATACTTCTTGGGTTTAATAAGGTGGTGTTGACTGTTGGTTACTTTCCGGCTTAAGCTAACAATATAAATTACCCGAAGCTGGGTTGCGGAACTTTAAAGACGTTAGCACGATAGCCTGTGTAGGTGTAAAGGACTTCGGATGCTTCCCCACCCAAATAATTTCTCCACCATTATTTCGGTGGGGTTTCTGACTCTAGGGATTTATGGGGGTGGAGAACTGATTGAGGGAGGCTTTACTAAGAAACCTTCTAAGAGTGGATATAGAGAAGGAAACCCTGAAGTTAGAAACTACTGGTAGCTATCTCTTTGAGCTGCTTCTCAGCTGCCACTGGGTCATCATTGTTGGCGCGGAGGAACTTTTGCAGGACGACCTTTAGTTAGAAAAAGATACTATCTTATAGGGTTAAGTAGGCTATTTGGTTATGTTTTATTTCCAGAACCCTCGATTTAGTCATGCTCTCAACAGCATCTGTTGCAGCTCTTGTATCTACATAGTAAGGGGGGATAACACTACTCCGTAAATAAACTTAGTAAGCGTAGAATGGTGCGTATACTGCAAATAATCACTAACCTCTTATCGTGAAGACACCAAATAACTTGGCTTGGTTGGTCGAGCCAATTGACTAGCTTGGTTGCGAATTGTGCCGCTGACCCATCAAACGGTCTTCCATTATAATTGGCACGACCAGCGATTCCAATAATTGCCAATCTTGGCTTGGGTACTAGATCTCGAATGATACCCTCATACCCCCCCAGATGAGCATTCCACAAGATGGTATTTCCCTCTGATATATGGATGTTATACATCAGTTGACCTCCATCATGATCAGAAAAGAGGTTGATTTTGCGGTCCTTGATATAGTCGACAAAGGACAAGATACCATCATTTTTTTCATCCTCGGGGAGCAATTGATCGATCTTAAGCAGTCCATGCTTCATGCCATAGTTAACATCAAACGTACAGACATATGGATGAGCTGCACCTGTATATACTGTACCAGAATCCAAGTATTCCGGATGTCCCTCAGGCATTAGGCAATGCAAGGACGGCCAAACATCTACAGAAATTACAGCATAACGTGGGTGAGGTAATGCTGGGGCACCTGGAGGTGTAGGTCTGAGTTCAATCTTGCCTTCGTTGGCTTTGTTCCGAATGTCTTGCGAGAACAGAGGGATCCTTTCCCCTCCTTGGACTGCCATTAGCTGGGCGTCAGGAACGCCAGCCTCCCTGAGGATATTGATCGCTTCGCAATTACCGATCACAATTGCGCCTGTTCGTTTCGCGATTATATCTGCCCCTGGTAGACTATAATTCACAATGTCAGCATATACCGAGACCTACTTGCAAGAGTAGAGCAGTATGGAAATGTGGGAAGGCATCAAGATCCCCCCAAAAATGGTCTTTACTGACTGGTCAAAGTGTGCATGCGATATAAAGATATAATCTGCTTCATGAATGTCGTCCGCAGAAAGGTAATCTTCCTGCAAGGTTGGTCTTTTAAACCAGGCGTCGAGAAAGACGGTCAAGCCGCAGGCACGTAAGCGGAAAGTAGTTGCTCCTAAAAAGGCAAAAATCAGGTCATAATTCGTATCGACGTCGTGCTAGGAAGCGTGTAGGGAGTACTTTACCAAACCATTCTAACGTGACTTCAGTGTCTTTGGACATATTGATGATGTGTAAGGTCTAGTTCGGTAATTTGCTCACAATGTATAAGTAAATAAGATAGTAGATTTTAACCTTTTATTAGCCAAGTAGATAATGGGAGAAATCGTATTTATATTAACCTTTTGCATGACTTATTGCACTTTTTACAAGTGGGGTAAGATTATTCCCCCACCTTTCTCAATGTAAGAGACAGTAACGGGGTTTCTTCTTTAACTATTTACCTTAGCTAAGGTGGTAAAGTATAAGATATGCTGCAGCAATTGGTTAGGTATTGTCGGATAATGTCTAAGTTGTGAGCCAGATGTGTTATTTGCAGGTGAAGACTTGTGGCTGAGAGCTTATTCCGGCACAGAGAACTCAAGACTTGTAGTAGAGAGCTTATATCACCACAGAGAACTTAGAACTTAGTAAGACCCCAGCACCTGTTCGACAGCTTATAATGCAAGGATATGTTAAAATGCTGTAAATATACTACTTTACGTGCTATTCCAGCTAAGCAGATAGCTCACCAAGCTAAAACTCCATTGGCATCCACTACCTTGCCCGCAAAGTCATCCTTCTCTCCCCTAGCTGCCCCTGCAATAATTTGTGCTCCTTCTTGGGGCTCAATACCTCCCAGCTCAAGGACAATTTTCGGATCTCCTGAGATATCCGTAGCGCAAAATCCCGGATTGACACCCAGTATGACCATCCCGGTTCCCTTGAACCTAGTCGTGTATTGAACAAGCAGCATATTCAGTGCTGTTTTGCTAACCCTGTAGGCATCCATATATGGGCCATGATGATGTGATGTGGGATCCGAGGCATAAGTCAACGATGCACTGCCGCTCGTGATGAAGATGATGCGCTTGGTGGCCGAATTGCTGAGAAGAGGGACAAAAGCATCCGTCACACGGGCTGTGCCCACGACGTTGGTTGAGAATGACGTGAGTAACCCTTCAGTAAGTGGTGGGGATTTTACACCGAGTGGCTCGACACAGATTCCGGCGTTGTTAATGAGGACATCGAGGTGAGGGAAGTCTTTTTTGACGACATCAACGGCGTTTTTGACAGAAACATCGGAGGTAATGTCTAGGGCCACGACGGAGGCAGTTCCCCGAGTCGATGCAAGTGATGTCAAGTTCCCAAGAGCCTCGGTACCCGACTTGGGATTGCGACAGGCGAGTATTACATGATTATCGGGGGAGGTCAAGAGGTCGGCGGCGACATGGTAACCTAAGCCCTTGTTGGCTCCTTGAATGATGATTAGTATGGCACACGAACAGTCTAATTTGTATTAGATGGGAAGGAGAGACCTGTAATGAGGATAATAGTCTTGGCCATGATGAGAATCGGTAGTAAGTTGTTTGTAACTAAACTTGGTAATTTGTGATGACGCTTCAAGACTCTATTAAGTAGGCATTCATTGTGATCGTGGGAAGAAATGCCGTATTCTAACTACCGCGTTGATAGCCTAAAACATATTCTCATGGTTTTCAGTCTCCCTGTCACTTCTGACCCTAAAAGAGTACTACGATGTTGACATAGCTCGGTTTGGATAATAAGAATGTGGGGGTGGGGGTGGGGAAACGACCAGGCCAGCAGATTCCCCACCCATGGAGAAAAACTCTTAGGCAAAAATGCTCACGTCTCTCTTAAAAATGCAACTGGGTGTATTTGTGGCGATGTGGGGTAACGAGCATTGATTGACGTCGTGAGCTTTGCAATGAATTCGACTCGGCCACTTGTGCTGAGTATGACAGTCAATCGGTGTCTGTTCGCACTAAGTGAATGACTCAAGTGATGACTTCAAAGATGCGTATTAGAGATATAGTGCAGAGACTGGTCATTTAACTGAACGCTATATACAGTGACCATATCTCGCTGGGTAAGAGTGAATGCCCGGTGTTTAAGCAGCTGCAGTGTGATTTGTAAGGATGTGACGATGTGGAATGATGAGGGTTTTGTCCCGGAAGGACAATTGAACTCTTCATTGCAGTGGGACGAAGGGTGCGCCTTGGGAGGTTTTTTTCTGTTTTTTTTATTATCTATTCTATGTCAGGCTGCCCCAGCCATTTAATTAGGCATGCGATACCTCTTCTTCTATTGAGGCAAGTCATCCATAGTGAAACAGCTGAACTCAGTACAGCGAACTACAATATTTCTCGCAACATGCCAGAAGACTTTAAATAATCAAGGCCTTTTTGCTTAACTACTATAATTAAGTTATAAAACATATACTGTTAAAAATCTTATATTACGGAATAAGAAGCCCATTAGCCTATATTTTCTATACAGTAACTATTAGCTATATTGTAACTTGAGCTGGTTAACTTTTACTTAATAGTAGCAGGATCATCGATCTCATAAAGGAGTTTAAAACTTTAATCGTCTTAACAAGATCTGAGACTTAAGTATAGCAACTCGCAATATCGGGAATAAATTCTGCTATATGATCTTGTCCTGAGTTGTGCAGACTTTAGCCACTCGATCCTTCCATGAGATCCAGACTATATTGATTATAAATGCAAAAGACGGCATATATTAAGCCAACACGAGAGTGATTAAACTATCCTACCGTTAAACCTTTTGGCCTTGGAATGAATTATCTGCTTTCTTGTTGCGGTGACCCTTTCCAAACCCTGCCTCTTTTTCCATATGCACTGCCGTGTGATTGTTCAGGTACATAGAGGGATCTTCAATGAAACAAGCCAAGGTTATAGCAATGATACCGAAAGGGATAGTCGCGTAAAATACCATCCTAAATGCATGGCCGTATACCTGTCGCAAAGCTTTGACGGCAGCGGTCTCTACTGCTGGTGTAATTCCTGGGACTGATGCAAATGCATGTGGAATTCCCAGAGCCGAGTTGATAGTCGCAGGTATTAGAGAACCGAGATCTTCAGGATTGAATCCTTTCTGGATGGCGGCTTGCGCAATGCCCTTTCCAAGATCTCTATTAACGACGCCATGAATTATAGTGTTGAAGATGGCATTTCCAACACTTCCTCCCATGCTTCTGAACGTCCCAATGAGCCCCGTTGCGAGTCCAAGATGTCGAAGGGGCGTATGCAGGCCAGTGGTGACATAACAGGCTACAGTGACCAAGACGAATGGACCCACGGAGAATGCTTGCAGGGCTGTCCAAGCTGCTCGATTATGTGGAACCACAGCAGCCAGAGCAGCCGTAAAAGTCGTTTGCAAGACTAGCATAACAATAATTTGCATTTTGATGTGCTTAATTTTTCCGATTAAGGCAGGGCCAATAGCACCGAAGACAAGCTAAAATTATATTAGCACTGCATCAAGACATGGAGACAACGTACTTACTTGCACAAAGCCGTTGGGTAGGGCTATATAAGCAATCTGCATTTGATCACTGGTGTACATCCAAAGAGATCCTTGTGGTAGCAGTGCCATCATAGAATAGTAAATCATCCCTACTTTGGTTAGCCTTGAGGTGTGCCAAGCTCGGGTAGGTGATTTACCTGCTACGAAAGTGATCCCAAGCAATACCGTGAATTTTCGAATCTCTTTAAAAACCTCCAGGGGAAATAAAGGCTTGCTAGGAATTGTAAAATCGTAGATGAAACAAGCTATGAGTCCAAGGAGGCCAAGAGTTATAGGAACATACACTGAAGGGCTGCGCCATGGATGGCCAGGCTGCCCCGCCCATGTGAGTCCAACAAGAAATGTGGTCAAGCCTCCCACGTAAAGTGTGATACCAACAAAGTCCAAAGACTTCAACTGGTCTAGTCGGGTATTCTCATAATCGTGCTGGGGTCTTGTTGGTGGAAAGTAAAACGTAAACGTTCCTACCAAGCTAATAACGCCGTAGATGAGGCCAATATAGTAGCACCACCTCCAGCCGAGAGCAGTATGGAGTACCAGGAGAGTACCCAGCAGAACGCTCAAAACGCCGAAGGGTACGTTAATGGCGAATTCTGTGGTCGCCAAGCCGATTCCACTGTCTAATATTAGTATCAGAACCAACTTCTGGAGTTTGGCCTACCAACCGCCATTTGTTTGGAAGTAACTCAGATATGCCCGCATAGCTGACATAAATCATGCCGCATCCAAAGCCCAAGAAGGTTGAAGCTAATATGATCGTTTCGACTGTCTTGGCGGTTGCGGCTACAACCTAGGCTTGTATTAACACCAAAAAGAACGTCGTAGCAATTGATTAAGGAGGACGGGGAGGAGATTAATTACCGATCCAATGATGCAAATCAGTTCACCAGACAGTATCGTCCATCGTCGACCAAAAACGTCGCTCAAGCCGCCAGCAATAGAAAAGGATACAGATGAAGCAACAGACCAGCCGCCGACCAACCAGGTGATTTTGTTATGGGTATCGCCGAGGTCTGTCTGGATGGTGGTAAGGATGCCAGTAACTAGAGCAAAACCGCAAGAGATGGGGCCGACAAATCCTAAAGCAAGAGACTTAATAAGTCAGCCATGGTTTGCAAGCTTGGTTTACTGAACGCACGATGACTGCTAAGATTGTTGAGAGAGAAGGAGTCTCGACAGTATCAGGGTTGTTCTCCAAGGCAGCTCGGTGAGCATCATCAAGGTCAACGGGTGCTTCCTCCATGTGATCAATTTCCGGTTTGTCTCGGCGTTCTTCATCGCCCGCTGTGATCTGTGACGTATTCATCTTGAAAAAAGGATAGTAAACAACTAATCTCGTATCAACATGCTTTGCATAAAGCAGTGGGCGGGGCGTCTAATTATAGATCTCATATTAACCTGTATTGTTATGTCTGGGGTAAGTGGGGTAATGCCTTTACTGCAACTTAACATATCTCCACACTCATTCTGCCCGTAAAAATAGGCTAATAAAGAGCATCGCTGGGGTGAGAATCCAGAGGATATTACGCCAATAGACTGTATTTTCGTGCCTCCACATGCGGGAAGTGTGGGGGTGGAGGCGATGACGAAGGTTTGTTGGCGCTGTAACCAAAGTTCAACGTTGACTTTTGGCATATAACACTGGTCTTTAACAGGATTATAAATTGTTGTTAAAATTACACAAGTGATCGGTATATATGAATCAGCACGCTGTGTACGGCAATTATGGCACATGCTCAATCCTCGTTTAAAGTCATCATTATTGGCTCTGGTTTAGCTGGCAGCTTGCTCGCGAATGGGCTTATTCACAAGGACGTCGATGTTCGTGTCTATGAGCGTTTAGAACGGCACGCCAAACGCGAAGGGTACCAAATTCGCCTCGGTGCACCAGCCCTCAAAGGGATGCGGGCTTGTTTGAACGAACAACAGATCAAGGCTATTGTCGACAAGTTTGGCCGTTCAGGAGGGGTGCGGTCATCAGCTCCAGTACTATACGACAAGAACTTTAAAGAACTTGTTGACTTGACGGTTTTTCCATCATACAGCAAGTCAGCTCCGATTAAAAGAGGCATTCTACGCGATCTTCTTGCCGACCCTGTATATGAGGCTGGCAAATTGCAATACGGGCGTGCCTTTACCAGGTACGAAATTTTGGATCCGGGCACAGCCACTGAACGCGTTCGCGTCTGGTTTGATGATGGTAGTAGCGACGAGTGTGATGTTCTAATTGGTGCGGATGGGAGTAACTCCAAGGTACGTTCCTAGCATCTGCCTCCATGTTCAGCTATACTCAATCTCTTTCAGGTGAATCTGCAGCTTGGTTTAGACAATATAAAGCAGATTACTTCGCATGTTAGTCTGATCGCTAAGCAAGAATTACCAAACTCTAGACTCAGACAAATGAGTCCTCAGCTACAGCAGAAGCCAGTCATGACATTTGCCGATCGAAAATCTTTCTTTTATGCGGGTGAGCACCATGCTTGAGAAATAACCGTCCATCTTTTTGGGCTTAATTGACACTTAATAGCATACTTGCCAGACAAAATCGAAGAGGGAGGGACAAAGACTGGATCAAGCATCGATGATTCCATATCGGCCATGATGTTCGGTGTTCAGGTTCCTACTGAAGAATGCCCACCAAACCTAGCAAACTACTCCTCCGAGGAGAAGTTCAACTTTGTATTGTCTGCCTTCCGGGGGTGGTCCAAAGAACAGTAAGCTCATATGCCGGATGAAAATAGTGACCCCACTAATTCAGCTCAAGCAAAGAAATCATCAACCTGATTGAGGGGGCTGGTCTTTACGTATTCAATGCTCGAGCCAGCGCTCGCCCTCCTTTGGATTGGAGAAAGAAGCTAAGCTCGGACGGGGCTGCTGAGCGCGGGAATCCACGTGTATGGCTTCTGGGAGACGCGATGCACGCAATGCTTCCACTTCGGTAAAGGGTAGCCACTCTAGCTGTTTCTGGCAAGGCACTAACTGTTGGTAGAGGAATGGGAGGCAATCAGTCATTGTGTGATACCGCCACAGCCCTTCCCATTCTTTCTGAGCTCTCTGCTTCTAAAGCTACAGGAGCTGCAGACATGAGGAAGAAGATACAGGAGGGCTGCGAGGCCTATGAGCGGGAAATGATTCCCCGGGCCTTTGAATGGGTCGAAAAGAGCGGTGGCTCCAACATTCAGGTGAGTGTATCATTCATGCTTGATGCCGTATTGTAGCTAATACATCCACCCATCAGCCGATTGATTCCAGTACCGTTGGGGGAAAGTGTCTGTTTCTCTTGGCTAGGCTGGCTATGACCTTTACCTGGGCATGGTACTCCTTCATTGGTCTATTTTTCACGCATGAAATTGTTGACGACGCACCGGAGTTGCGAACTTAACCAATGTGTTGGAACATCACCCCTTACGTGTTGTATTCTTTGTACTAGCAATGTGGTTTCAGTGTTCAAATTGAATCATGACATCTATGTCTGCAACTATTGGCCATTCCCCTCTGTCATTGCGTTATTTACTCCATCCAACTATGAGGCTCCCCTACTCGTTCTAGCAGGCATGCAAGACCATGCCTCAGCCGCGGCCACGAAGCTGAGGACAAAAGTATTCTTTGACACTCTTTCATTATTCGCACACTACTCCCTGGACTACCCAGGATACCTATGCCCGTGATATGAGTGCGATGGCTTCCTTTTTCCACCCAAGACTTAACCTCATCGGCATCACGCAGCAGGTCGATTCTTGTCGGACGTTTATGTACGGTTTGGGACTCTTCTTGCGATACTGCGCCGTATGAACTGGACGGCATCAACAGATCGAACGCCCACATGAACAAGGCGGCAAGTAAGAGACTGAATGAGTCATCGCAAGCAAAGTGCTGCTTGTTGCGTAGTGTTCTGAAGGCACGCACGGCATGCCAAAGACATTGACGGGCCGCGGAAGGATTCTCTCGCATCCAGGCTCGCAGATACTCTTTTGCTTCGTCAATCTGATCCTGCGTGGCTTGCCAGCCAGAGAAGGCATACAGCATTCGAAGTGAAACATGACGTAAAATAAGCAGTATGTGGTAGCACATCACTGAAGTGTAATGTCCATCAAAATCTGGTTGAGAACTGTGTGCAGCTGAAAGCGTCTCCAAGCTTTTGTTTATGAATCCGGTGCTGCCAACAAGTACAGATTTTACCATGGACTGACTGTCCATAGTCATTGCGGACCCTCGTGGCAGATGGATTGGCGATGCTTCCATGAATGATTTCCAGAACGGGGAAGAAAACCGGTCGTGAATGGATCGCTCTTCGGCATAAAAGGTCAGTATATGCATTTCACGAGCAAATGTGCCTAATTGACCATTGCTAAGGTCCGCAAGTAGGCTTGGTCCCTTGCCTGTCTGAATCAGCTTGCGACATTCAAAGGAAAATTATAGTTGCAATCATCTTACCTTGGTATATTCCAGAAAATACTTGCCAACTATCAACATCCCGACAACTCCATGGGCTCTCGGTACACGGAAATCGGTCGACCATGTGATGAGGCTGGAACATAGGGTCCAAATTCATCAAGATAAGTTGGAAGCATTCCAACTCTAGATTTCTATTAGTCTTGGACAATTCAAGGCTCCGAGGGCATGACTTACTGTAAACGCAGTAGACTAGCCGGATCAAGGACTCCCCTACAACCCAGTCCTCCCATGACTGTTCGTCATCTGAATTCGGAGCGACATGAGCTTCGTATGGAGATCGTGTTAATAACTGACAGAGAGTGATAAGAGATCTCCTTTCGAGTTGCCCCTTTATCATCATGTCTCTTGAACCGGAAAATAGTTCACATACATGACTAAGAAGTGTACTCTGAACGAAAGGGAGGCTTGGCTTTCGTTTCAGTTCGGGTCTCTACCAATTTTATTAGGTTCCACTACCACAAGAGAAAAGTCAACTCACATCGGCAGTTACCGCCAAGTTCAAAAGCTCTTGAAGTCTGGCTGCATACTGATCTGCGTGGGACATGGAAGAATACTGAGAGCCAACAGCTGCAACAGCCAGAAGAAGTATCCATGCTTCGTTGCCTCTATTGAGGGTCGAGGGATGTATGCAGGGGAACTGGCCATCGAAATATTCATAATAGAGTTGAATGAAGATATGGAATCTCTTGAAATCCGGGAAAGGGCCGCCTTCAGACTGCTGTTTCTGCTTGGAAAATTGAACAATTTTGTCGTAAGAACTCTTATTGATCTGGCTCACGTGTCCGAAATCCTCTGCTGAGATGGCATGATCGTCTTCTGGCAATGGATGCGGCATGAAATCATACCCGTTAGTCATCTGAGCTGGAAGACATGATTTCCCATTGTCCGCTCCTTGTCCCCAACTTGAAATATCAGGAGTTTTCGTGATTGAAAATGTTTGCCCTTCGAAACCCTGTGGTTGGCCTCCCATCTCTTCTATATTCAAAGCAGTAGAAGGGCCGAGAAGATCAAGGATGGAAATAGGCCCAGTTTCGTCAAGCCTCCATGAATACGCGCTATTATCCGGGAAGAGCAGCGAAGAGACCCACGAAGGGCTTGTGTGGCTCTGTTCGGTTCCGGCCCTATTTGTAGAATCTGAACAGATCTCAGAGCCTGTACTAAGAGTGAGATCGTGACTCAAAAGAGGGATGCTGGTATTGGACTCAGGCACAGGGAAGGCTTCAGTGGCAAGGACTTCCTGCAGCCCAGATTGCAGCGCCTCGATGCCCGACGTGCTGAAGAAATCACCCTGATCGGCGCTTGGTTGAGTTGGTTCCAAAGCAGAGAGTTGCTGGTCAGAAAGAGTTATATCAATGGAGCTTATTGCTTGCGTTTCTGGACCATCAGGTGGACTGTTGATACCAGCGCCCTCCTGAGAATTGGAGAGATGGGCAGATGCTGCACCGTTAGCTTTGGGAGAACCGCATGATGTATGTTGGGAGCATCGCAGTTTCGAGCTTGAGCATGCGTTACGAGCGGGTGCTTTCCTTGGGCGTCCGCGTGTCGTCGAGGTCTCGGAGGGATCGGAAGCGTGCATGTTCGAATGCCGCATGAGGACATCTCTTGAGCTAATAGTCAGTCCTGTCGCAGCAGGTTATGTTAAAGAAGTGGTCAGGATTACTGTTGCGTACTTTCGTGAAAATGCTTTTGAGCATGATTTGCATTTGAAAGGTTTAGCTCCCGAATGGCGTCGGGCATGGCGCTCAAGATGCTCCTTTCTCTTGAACGTCTCGCTACAAAAGTCGCAGCGAAGCATAGATGCCGATGAGGTCATTCTGGAGTGCCGGATAAGTGTTGAGGCGCTTCGGTGGGTGATCGAAGAGGGTAGGTTAGGTTGAAATCCTAGAAGGAAAAGGAAAGCTGCTTCAAATCTGGTACGGTCCGCGTCGGATTCCAAAAGTAGGGTCCACCATATTTGCAAGGATCTGACCCCGCACTAGGCTAATCCTATCCGATCTAGTAAGTGACCAGTTTCCAAGCTATTGACTGTGGATGCTTGATCTCTTCTACTGATTGGTGAACCCTTAGAGACTCACAGATCCGGCACATCATTCTCTGCTTACCCTGGGGATTAATAAAATGTCGGTAACCCGGGCTCACTGACCTTCGCCAATAACAGTATATGATTCGTTGATGCCCCTCAGGTTGTCTGGAGGTACCCTCTTCTCAGCGAGTTGGGCCAAAACCGTTCGCTGCCAAAAGGGGACCCTTTCCCACGTACATGTATACTTTTCATCAATCGGTCTTTTTTATTCTCGGTCACCGGATAATACGGGATCAATCTTTCCTGTCAGCACACACATAATAGTAAGAACGATGGTCATTAAACTCGCCATGATTCGTAGCTAACAAGCCAACTAGATGTTCGTATATTTTAATACCTGACAATGCGGTTCTCAACCCGTCACGCGGCAACATTTTGCTAGCATGACACAATGCCGTGATTCAAAGAGTGCTTCATGATTATCTGACACAGTTTAAAATTGTTAAATGCCCCAAAGTTTTATCTATCTAGTGTCTGTTTTTCATTTTGTTCAGTCTCTCAGACCCCGTCATCTTGGACTTGAATTGCCACATCTAAATAAAAACGACCCGAAAGCCCTGTGTATTGAGTGTCCCTTTTTTGCAGATCGGTTGGGCCCCTTTCTATAGATTTCTGAAGACTAGGCTTCCAAGACACTACTAGTGGGAGACTCAAAGACCACCGGTAATGCCCGTGTTGAGATGGGCCACCAGAAAGACTGTATCGGCGTTTGCATGGCAGCATTTAGGAAAGCCGAGTTGTAAATCGTGGGCTTAATAGTTCACGTCCCCGGGAAACACCTGGTGGGGGTGGGGAGAGAATGAGTATGTGTGGAGGTGGCGAAAACAACCAGAACTGGTCTGGCATAATTTGCTTGATCGGGAATGGATTACTTTAGTACTTAAGTGTGGGGATGCTGTACATGCTTCAACCCCACGGCACGTCAAGAGTACCAAATGCCAATATAACCCCATATATACGTACGGACGGCTTCAACCTGGGATTTTCCTTGCTCAAAACTTAAGGCGCCTCCAGGCCTTTGTTCCAAATCTGTTGTTTTGAGTTCTCCAAACATGTTTTCCCTCATCATTCAGGAAGTAGTGTGCATGTCTACTTGGCGTATCATTGCTATTCTAATAACTGCATGGCTGTTATACCACGTTGTTACTGCCGTATGTGATCCGCTCAGAAGCTTGCCCGGCCCGTTCATGGCCAGGTTTACTCGGCTATGGTTGTTTCGACAATATTGTGGAGGAAATTACGTCTGGACCAACATTGAGCTCCACAAGAAACATGGTTGGTAACCTACACAATGCATATGCCATTACCACTGCATCGCTTCCATTTTCTAATTAGTTTGCTTATGTCTGCTAGGACCGATTGTGCGCATTGCACCAGACCAGTACAGTCTTGATAATCCTGAGGCTGCAAAGATCATCTACGGCCACGGAACCCAGTTTGTCAAGGTAAGATCTGGTTGCCTGGGCGTTGTTTTCTAGTCTGAAACGAGCCTATATAGGCCAGCTGGTATTTGCCATGGGGTGATCCAGTCGATCGAAACTTGTTTAACGAGATTGACCCAAAAGTCCACGGAATCATGCGTCGTCAAGTTTCGAACGTTTATACCATGTCAAACATGGTATCATATGAGCCTTACGTGGATGAATGCACGGAGATATTATGCCAGCGCCTCATCGAGTTTTCTGCGTCAAATGTGCCCATCAATATGGCGCGCTGGTTCCAATACTACGCTTTTGATATGATTGGTAAAATTACCGTATGAGTATCGTTGCAGATTCGGTGTGTATGATTGCTTATTTCTCCTAGTTCTCTAAAAGATTCGGATGCCTTGATGCTGGAAAAGATCACCGAGACATAATAAAGGCACTTGATGATTCCGCACAACTAGCAAGTGCTCTTGGACTCTACCCTCTTATATTTCATTATCTTCTCAAGATATTTAAGTGCCTCTCAAAAGATCAAGATGCAAAAGGGCCAGCCTACATTGCTCAATATGCAGAGAAACAAGTAGCGGCTAGGCAAATCGAGAAACAGCGAGACGACAAGCCGCAAGATTTTGTAGCCAAACTACTTGAAGGTCAAAAAGAGAGACCCGATACTGTCACTGACCATGCAATTCGACTATCTAGCGGTGCTAATATTGCGGCTGGATCGGACACCACAGCGATCACATTGAGCAACATCCTGTATAACCTTTGCAAACGCCCGGCCACCATGCACAAGCTTCGTCAAGAGCTCGGAGATGCCAGAGCTTCTGGCCATATTTCAAATCCCATCACCTTCCGAGAAGCTCAAGGTCTCCCGTATCTCCAAGCTGTCATCAAGGAAGGTCTTAGACTACACCCCGCTGTCGGTTTCACGATGCCGCGAGTGGTTCCAAAAGGTGGCAAAAGGCTAGCTGGAAGGGTTTTCCCAGAAGGAGTAATACTCGCTAACCCTCTTTGAAATCAATTTGCTCACATGGCCTTCTAGACAATAGTGGGGATCAACCCTTGGGTTGCACATCGTAACAGCGATATTTTTGGGCAAGACGCAGATGAGTTTAGACCGGAGCGATGGCTGAGCTCTAGCCAACAGACCATCGAGAAAAAGGAGATGGAGGCGTACTTCATGGCTGTAAGTGATATAAGGTGGGCAGGTCGGGGCAGTCATTGACTAACATCGAAATAGTTTGGTCTTGGCTCGCGAAATTGTATAGGTAAGAATATTAGTTTGCTTGAAGTATCTAAGGCTTTGCCACGCTTAGTCATGGAATTTGATTTCAATTGTGAAAAGCCTGGCAAATGGAGCTCTGTAAATTACTGGTTTGTAAAACCTACAGACTTTTACTGTTATATAACAAGAAGACAAACCTAAATACCTAAGATTAAACATAACTACCTAATCTCAACGTTAACCATAACCATTGCAATGAGATGCAGTGTTATAAGATAGGATTGCAAGGGAAAATAGATGACGAGGGAGACCACCCAGCCTAACGGGATCGTCCTTGCTCTTCAATACTGGCATTTCATTCATGCCGAATTGGACCAAAGACATGCAATTGTGAGACGGATCGAGCCTTATATTTCACCAAATCATTCCTGACGACCCTACCGAGTTCGGTATCTTTCTAATTGTCGAGACTGGAGACGACGGTGTCGATGGGGTGTGTATACATGTTGACTATCAGCCATCAACAGTCGGTCGTATGCATGCCATAAACATTGCCGCGTCATTTGATCACATCCTGAGTCAGATTACACAGGATCCATCAGTGCCGCTGAATCAAGTCATGGGCATCAGAACTCGCGACCTTGATCAGACATCGAACTGGAATAGGGTCTTGAGTCTACCTGAGGATAAATGCTTGCATGACCTACTTATTGAAAAGGTCATCGAGGACCCTACCCGAGCAGCCGGCTTCCATACAGACGTTGGTGCTGCTAGCAGTATTGGCATAACTCACATTGGACAAAAGCCAGTAATACCTCCAGGTACATTCTCAGCTGAATGTTCAATCATATCTGAGGACAATTATGTTGCAGTGAGCGTGGCTGTAATTTGGGACGATAGAGCTATGGGTGAGGATGATGCTAAAAGGGTTATGGAAATGTGGAAGGACATTATAGTAAGAGGCTAAGAGCATAAGGCTTTAATTTTTATAGATTGTTCTTATAAGTAAAGCTGCTGTCGCTTTTAAATAGGTTTCTGATCTCACTGTAATTGGAATGATTTAGGGTAGCTTATTGGTAGTACTTACATCTTGTGAATGAGAAGCTTATAAACTGCAAAGGGCTATTAATAGACCTTATAGTTAAATATTCTTACATACTTAGAAATTGAACTAGTATCTCTCTCACTCTTAAGCCGTCTGAGCATGTAATTGTAGTTAAAGAGCAAGTAATATATAGTATTCTTTAGATGTTGCTAACAGCAGGTAGAACAAATTCTCCAAGAGATATCCCATTTCTTTCTTTTCAAACCTTTATCCCTTAATATTTCAGAAGCTCACAATGCATTTGTTCCAATTGTTGGTTGCCTTGACTTCTGGCATTGCTTATGTGGCTGCTGGCCCTTGCAAACCAGAGTCAATCATCCAGAGTGAAAGCTCAACACAGAGTTTGACGAATTCCGATCTCTCAAATTTCCCAACAACATCTATGGGATTCCCTAGCAACACGGAATACGCCTCCAGTACTGAAATCTTGTCAACCACCTCGGTAGACTGGCCCTCCGTCGAAACCACCTTGGCTTCCAGCGCGACTGCTAGATATGAGACCACAGAAATCTTAAAGTCTAGTACTGAGCTCGCATCAACGACGAGCAGCGCTTCAGAAAGAGAGTCAGCTCCCGCCGGCGAAGATCCTCAGTAGCCGCCGATATAGAGCTTGTTCGCCATAAGACGCCATTGTTGGGTGATTAGCTGGGATATTTCAGTACAGTTCTCGGTATTCTGCGGTATTTATCATCAGAGGGAATGTAATCCCAATGTAAGTTGGGCCGACATGGTGCTAGGTTCGAGCAGGCAATAGAATCACAGTCAGTAAAGAGGTGGGAATAGTGGCTCGGAATTCGGCAAAGCGTCATAATCAAGACGTCACTGATCCACTTTGGCCTGTAACCCAATACTCACTTCTTTTTATCGCCAATAGCTATAGATCTTCCATAATCTCTCAAAGTCCTCTCTCAATTGCGTACCCTCAACATGACAGGTGTCCTCAAGCCGTATCGCATCCCCCAACTCGAAGGCGGGCATCGCCCAGGATCTGACGCAGTCTTCAACTCTCACAGCAAAGAGGACATCCTCTCCGCGCTCAAAGAATGGAATTCTCAGCGCATCCTTCTAGTTCACAGCAAAGCTCTCGCCAAAAACACACCCGTAATCGCTGATTTGAACGACGCTCTTGGTGATCGCCTCAGCAACGTCAAGGAAGGCGTCGGCTCTCACTCCCCATACTCGGATGTTATCGACATTGCTCACCGCATCACAGAGCACCAAATAGACTGTATCATCAGCGTTGGCAGCGGCTCTTACTCTGATGCCTGTAAAGTTGCGCGTCTAATGTCCGCTACTCTACCCAATGGATTCCGCGAGCAAGACATGGAAAATCTGCTGGATCAAGAGAAAGGCGTTGCGCCGCAGGACAAAATGAGAAAGGCGCAGGGCGTGAAGCTCATTCTCGTTCCGACGAGTTTATCAGCGGGGGAATGGAATCATACAGCGAGTTGCACGAACAGCGTGGGTAAGAAGCAGCATTTCTCACTTGAGGATGGTGGCGCGCCGGATTTAATCCTCATGGATCCATGGGTTGCGAGAACATCACCCGAGAAGTTGTGGTTGAGCTCTGGGATACGAGCTGTGGATCACTGCCTTGAGACACTATGCAATCCCGAATGCAAAAAGTATCCCGATGTGCAGGAATGGTGCGAAAAAGCACTGCGAGACTTGGCGAAGGGGTTGGTGGAGTATAAAGAGGGATTGGGGAGGGCAAAAGAAGGTGAAGACGAGCTTGTTCACGGCGTGAGCAAGTGTCAAGCCGGAAGTCGCATGGCGCTCATGGGCTTTATCATCTACAGAGTGAACATGGGCGCCAGCCATGCAATTGGCCATCAACTGGGTAGTGTTGGGAAGGTCATGCATGGTATTACGAGCTGCATTATGCTTCCTCCTGTGTTGCGATACACCAAGGCGCGAAACCCCGAGGCGCAGAGCAAGATCGTGAGGATCTTTAATGAGACGTTGGGATGGGAAGAGACTGATGCGGGTGATTGCGTTGCGCGGCTTGTCAAGGTTACAGGGCTGCCAAGTACACTAAAAGAGGTCGGGCTTACAAGCGACGAACAGATTGAGCAGATCATCGACAAGACCATGACGGATGTAATGTTCTCGTTCGGCAAGGTCTTGACGAGAAAAGAAGTATCTGAGATTGTGTACTCGACTAAATAGACCTTACGCCAATGCTATATAAAATAAAGAAAATAAAGTACAATACAAAATGGGTATCCTGCCAATCTCGGGGTATCACTGAAAACATTACTACATCATAGGCATTCCATTCATGTCCAAAGGCCAGCCCAAAAGAAGCCTCTGCATCCAAGGCCAATACTCCCTCTTAACCCAATTCTGGAGAACTTGCAGCGAATAAATGATCTTGAAAACACCAATCGAAGTCGCCGTATCGCCAATCCCGTAGAACCTCGCGTCGCTTTCACCTTCCTTCCAGATGCTGAGAAACCAATTATGCTTGTAGACGATGATGCCCGGGAGGAACTCAGGAAGCTCATATATCGGAGGATCCGCGCCCGGCCAACCGTAGCGACGAACCTCGGCAATCTCCCTCAATTGCACCAAGTCCTTGAGAAAAGCCCAGTGTGCGGCGAGGGCGGTTCGTACGCGTTGAAGCTCAAGGTTCGTGTTATGCGGTAGATTGTGTATGTGGAAAGCTATCGGTCGCTGGGGTTGGAGGGACGCTACGTGGATGTGGTTGAATATCCTTGTGCGGAGTTTCTTCTGAATATGCTTGATGAGCTCGGGGAGGGCCGGGTCCTTGTCGCGGGATGGTTCTACGTAGACGCAGAAATCGGGAGGTTGAGGGCTATAGAGATTTGAATGGTACTCGCGAAGAATTTGACCACCTGCGCTGAGAACACAATATTAGTATTGGGCTTGCAATTGAGGAAGCTGGAGAGGGTTACTCACCTGGATCTGAAGTCGATGAGCTGAGGTCCAAAGCCATTCTCCTCCCTCAAAGAAACCTCAAGAACCTTGTGAACAACCTCCATATTCCACTCGGACAGTGGTGCGTTGTATTGAGCACATAAAGCAGCCTGGTGCATAATCTTGCCGGCCTGAGCAAGACCAGGCACCCTACCAAAAGAACGTCGCTGGGACGAGAAAATATCACTAGAACTTCCACATCGGATCCAAGTCCAGTCATTGTAACTGGAAATCTTCCTCGCGACGTCGAGGATGGGTTCGAATTCGTCGGGGAGGATACCGCGACCGGCGTAGATATCGTTGATTCGATTTAGGAGGGTCGTTAACGTTGTCTGTGGGAGTTCAATGAGAGGCTCGACTCTTGTATCCCGTGGTAATTGCACAGGAGGCGTCGGTTCGAGATCGGGTTCGGTTTTGATTTGTCGTGGCCACGATACAGGTTCAGTGTCTGGTTCGACCTTGACTTCTTCCGATCGGAGTGGCCGTGCTGAGTTGGAGGAGCCAAAACCCGTCGCGGAGGTTACGCGAGATGGTGTTGTTACAGGTTGCGAAACCGACTCGACTCTTCTGCTGATGAGCCGCCGTTCAACCTTGCCTGTACTGTAGCTGATAAAGTTACAGTATTGCTGCTGCAATTGTGAGGACACTTGGTTGTTGGCGGTCGCTCGTTTCTTGGGTGCTCGAAAAAAGTCTCTGTCCAATTCTTCCTTGAACCTGTCGATTTTAGCCTGTTGTTGGAGGCATCTCTTCTTGGTATCGTATAGCGGATCGCTGGGTGACGGCTTGAGCGACCAGGTGGTCTCGCGAGGTGGTGAATCGACTCGACGGCGTTTCAAGGCATTAGGTGGGACATCAGGATATGTCTCGGGAGTAGGCGATGGATCGTCGGTGGATTGTTGGATATTGCTGAGCCAAATCTGAACTCTCTGCTCGAGAGACATTTTGGCGCTGCGACACGAGCGCCAACGGACGTCCAGTTGCTGTCGATGTTCCGTTGAAGATTGTCCTTCTGGCTTGATCTGACCAGGCAACCCAACCCCCCGGGTCAGCATAATTCCGCCCGCCACCTCACGGCATTACCGCTATTGGTCCGACTGAACATGGTCTAAGCATCGACTGCCGAGGAAGCAAAAGATAAAAAGAGCCGAATTAAGATAAAGAGCGGTCTATTATCGCAGTGTCATTATTAGCCTCATCACGCTGATTTCTTAATGTTTTGCTAGGATTAGTCAGGGCCAAGGGCGTGGAATACTCGACTGTAGGGTATTGCATGTCACTGTCTGAAACGCCCCAGTTGGTGTACCCCACTGAGGGTCAGTAGTGTCTCACTCGACTTACAGGGCCTGCAGGGCTCACCTGGTTGGGGCATCAGGCGTTGCTGAGGCACAGAGTGTACGCTTGAGCATACCCTTCGTCACTAATGGTCTCCAATGGATCGCTGGTTGACTCCGAAGCCTATGTCGATTGTGAACAGCCGCCTCATCGAATACGTTCTGCTTACGCACCACTTTGTACGATTCGCGGCTCAGATGAAGCAGTCAGATCCAAGATCAGGAGCCTTCGCAGTTCCATCAATCAGGACACTCCATCTTCCCCCAAACCACGTCATGAAGCTATTTAGCCGGTGCAAGATGGTGTAAGCTGGAACGCGTGCGTCAGCAATAAGTGCATCTCTACATCGCAGATCCCTCAGTTCACAGTGTGATATAAAGCTTTGATAGCCGTATCTTCCAGATACTTTCTTTGGTCCCGCTGGTCAACAATTGAAGCTTTATCGTCTCTCAGCATACGACCATGGCTTCTGAAGTACTGACTGAACGTCCGCTGGCCAGCAATGGCGCCAGTGAAGTAAATGGAGATTCTACTGCTCAATCCAGGCCAACCTCCACTTTAGAGATTGAAGAACCTCGCGAGGACGAGGAAAATATCGTATATCCGACTGGACCGAAGCTATGGTCGACCATGGCTTCGATGGCAATCGCATGCTTTCTCAGTGGCCTTGTAATTTGCCCTGTATTCCTACTGACAACGGCGCATTGACGTGTTTGACAGGATCTCACCATTGTCGCTGTCGCTGTCCCAAGCATCACAGACGAGTTTCAGACCATTGCAGATATCGGATGGTACTCAGCTGCATAGTAAGCCCTACACCCTTCCCTCTCCAACATCTCTACTCTAACAATACTCCAGCGGCATGACCCTCAGCGCCTTCGTCTTCTTGTAAGTCCCTCAATTCCTCACCATCACTCCACTAACCTCACCAGCTTCGGCCAAATCTACACCCTCTTCTCCATCAAAGCCGTCTTCCTAATCGGCATCGCCACATTCGAAATCGGCTCTCTAATTTGCACCCTCGCACCCTCTTCAGCAATCTTTATCCTCGGCCGTGCAGTCAGCGGTTTAGGCCGCGGCGCCATCAACGGCGGCCTGTTCAAACTCCTCCGCCAATGCTTTCCGCTGTCCAAACAAGCCATTACAAATAGTTTCTTTGGCTCAATCCAGAGCGTTGGCCTCATCACTGCGCCTACGATTGGCGGCGCTTTGATAGATGCGTTTTCGTGGAGAGCTTGTTTTGGTGTAAATTTGCCGCTGGGCGTTATGTGTCTTATCTTGACGGCTTATGGAGTCCATGAACAACCTCCGCGTCATGAGGCGCCTGTTCTGACTCTCAAAGAGAAGGTTAAGAAGGTTGACTTCTTTGGCACGCTGTTGGCGGTCCCAGCCATTACCTTTCTTCTCATGGCACTGCAATGGGGAGGTACAAAGTTTGGCTGGGGAACCTGGCAGATCATTGTTCCTCTCGTTGTTTGCGCTCTTCTGTTCGTGGCATTTGGATACTTGCAGTATCGCCAAGGTGACAATGCTCTCTTACCACCCAGGATCTTGAAGCAGAGGAGTATCATCGCAGGAATGTGGTACGGTGCATGCTGCGAGGGTGTCTTGGCTGTGACGGAGTACTACATGTCTATATACTTCCAAGGCGTACGTGGGTATTCACCTACAAAGGCAGGTCTGCTGGCACTACCAATGGTTGGTGGTTTGGCAATTGCATTCATCATCTCTGGTGTTGGAACTACATGGATCGGATACTATTACCGTAAGTCCCCGCCGAGCTCTTACAGCCAGTACTGACAGCCCCAGCATTTATGTTGGCCACGAGTGTTTTAACACCTATTGCCTCTGGTCTTCTCACAACCCTCGATCTCGAAGAACAAATCGCCAAAGCCGTTGGCCTTCTCACGTTTCTCGGCTTAGCAGTCGGTCTCGGTCTTCAAGGTCCACAGGTAGCCTTGCAAGCTGTTCTCCCTATCGAAGACGTATCCCTTGGAGGTGCAGTCATCACTTTCGGTGCAGGAATGGGCTCTGCCTTGTGGATCTGTGCCTCTGCAACATTATTCCAAGACCGCTTATCAAAAGAGATCCAAAATGCCGCCCCCGGGACAAACACTACTTATGTTCAAGAAGCGGGTTTGTCTAGGTTGAGAGCGTCAATTGGTCCTGGAAGATTGAAGGGCGTATTATCTGGCTACGAGAATGCGGTTGTCCAGACACTATACATCCCGTTGGCATTGGCGCTTCTGAGTATTATTGGCGCTGTAGCCATGGAGAGAAAGTCAATCAAGAAAAAACGGTCTTAAGCAAGGGATGAAAGGAATGCCTCTTTTGGCAAGTTTGTAGGCAAGCAAGGTTAATCCCGAAGCTCCAGCCAGAACCACTCTTTTTGTCTGGCATTATCACGTCATAGTCCCGCAAGTGTCAGGCTGGGCGGAGGACAGCCGATACTTTCTCGCCCAATCACCATCCTCGGAAATAACCCCTGGTATTTATATCCGTCCCAATTCGTGACATCATAATCTTTCGACAATTCGTTGGACCCTTATTTTGAACCCCTAAATTCTCCCTGGTGTGGTTGTCCTCTTCATATGTACAATCGATCGCCACGAAGTGTAACCGAATAGTCCAGCAAGTACTCGGCGTCCTCTCGAGATAAGCAACGACGCGTGCCCATGGCATTGCCCTACAGACCAATCAGGCCTGCCCTTGCGAAGGAGGGTACAACTCCCCCGAGGACTCTCGTCGAGCGAGCCGTGGCGAAGCGATCAGGCATCATAAAGTCAGCATGCTTGGAATGTCGGAAACGAAAAGCGAAGGTGAATAAGCTTAATGGCCTTGGAATCTCTACAAACTAACCGACGGAAGTGCAATGGACAAAAACCAATCTGCGTCAACTGCTCGAAATACGACCGGACATGCGTATACGACTCCGACATCAGGGAATCGCGAGTCAAGGGTTTGCAGGAGGAGAACCAAAAGCTCCAAGACGAACTGGCAGCTGCAAAACTTTTAATGAGACAGATGGCCGGTGGCTCTGCTCAATTGAGACGTGCCGTGTCAGATTTGCTGGAGGAAGACAGACAGCCTTCCGAGATAACACATTTACTGAAACATGACGAGAGCCTGAATGGCGAGGCGGATGGCGGCCGACGTTCCAAAGCATTGAGCAATGTAATACTACACGATGTTGCCAATGACTACTTATTCCCAGTGGAGGAAATCGAGTCTTTCAGTGCGGACAGCTCCAGCTTGAAGCAAGAATCATCGCCAGATACTGACTCGTGCGTTGCCATGGAGTCAGCAGCAGAGCCTACTTACACAGCAAACCCTTACATGATATCTACGCCTGATTACACATCTACAGAGATGCTAATCGATTACAATAAACCAAGCACTCGAGTAAGAATCAAGCTGCCGAGAGGACATCCCTGTGCTCGGTACTAACAACTCTCATAGCCGGTTACAGATAGTGCCGAGAGCATTCCCCTGTACCCGCCACAGCTGCCATACTCCCACCCATCAATTATCTCGACGAACAGTTCCCCAACGGACGAGTTGCCTACCCTAGTGAATCAGAACGACAGCGGAAGAACAATCGCCCAGCAGACAGAACACACGAGTTTGTTTTTTCAGCCGCTGTTTAATCATAACGATTATTATCTCTCAACTTCGATAACCAGACCTGTGCCGCAAGAAACACACGATAGAGGCTCTGCGACCTGGTATGTTTGTGACGAATATCCGGAGAGCACAAATGCCAATTACCCCACAGAACTGAGTGGTAGAGTCCGTGTAGGAGAGGAGGAGCTGCAGGACAGAGAAGTCAGAATTTACCCTAATTACGATAACAACTTTGGAAACCTTGCGCTTTCGGATAGTATCAGAGCCAACGGATATCCTCGACATATACAGGACGCGCAAATACGCAACATCTTTGTGCCGAGTTGGGCTGCCACAACACTCAACACTGAGCTGGACCCAGGGGACATGAGCAATGCATTCGGCGATATATATCAAAAGGCCACAAGCCTGCTCCAGAAAGGTGGGCATGCCAGCCACGTGATTGGAGATCATCCCAACATTGCAGCATTGTACGATCAGGCTCAGTTTGACAGGTCGTGTTTGTTGTCGCAATGGGCTGCTCGTATGGTTCATAGTGTGAAATGTCAGGGTAACTAACACCTCCCTCCAGAAGATTGTGATTGAGGCTGATTGATCTAGGATATGATTTTACCTGCTTCGCATCTATGAATGTTTTCTGGTACATGATGCGATGGATGATCGACCCGTCGCCAGAAACATACGCCGCGATGCCGGAATGGATCAGACCAACGCAAGTCAGCTAGAATCGATCGATATTTGATATGCTAATATACTGCAGCGCTAACCAGCTGTTCACGCCCCATATAAGCATGGCCGACTACGTTCTCTGGCCTGCGTTCCGCGATCTCGTGGTGCAGTTCCCGCAGCTTCAGGAGCGCATGGCGTGGCTTGCTGATATGTCTATGTACATCCGGTGCGATTGGCCATACGCGCTTGAGGATGCACTGAAACCAGACCTAGTTAATGGAACAATTGATCTTGTTGATTTGGCCAAGGTACGTTCTTCATCATGATGACTGGGTTGACTATACTGACTCTTGCAGGAGCATATCTGGAACCTGGGATCTTGGTCTGTTGGACCGTCGTTTAGAAACTTCGTCATGAATGCGGATGCATACCTCCGGATTAGAAATGGGTCATAAGTCAAGATTTGATGGCTGTTAGTAGGGGCGGATGAACAACAAGGCGTAACTGTGTGTCGATTGATATGGCTTGTTATTGAAGTGATACGACCCCTGTATATACCCTAGTTGCTAACAGTCTCCCATCGAATCCTCTCACTACAGCAGGTTAAGCCTGTTTCGTCTTCCGTAGTATAGTGGTCAGTATGCAAGCTTGTCACGCTTGAGACCCGGGTTCAATTCCCGGCGGGAGAGTCGCCACCTGTAACACACAGGAATTTCAATTTTTGAGCATTTCATTTATATGCAAGTCACTCCATTAAGTGCTACTTATTTTTCTCTTTTGCATTAATGATTGGTCTATATCGCATCAATAAGTTGCATGTTTCTCTGCAGTTTGTCTTATATCATCTCTGTGCTTGTCTGCTAAGTGCTTAGCCTAGTAGTGTTATACGTCACCATGACGATTACCACATCGCTGAAAGCTTACTATCTCCAACAACACCTTGCATGGAATGAGGTAACTTCATCAAAACATTATTCACAATGGATATTGCTCAGACCTCTCCTAAGAGCATCACACACTTGGAAACATCCAAGCCCATTCGGGGAGTGAGTTTCAACACAAATCAACCTCCCAATGTAATCCGACAGCTGATCCGCCGGTGGCTTACTGACGAAGAGGCCGACAAAATCTTATCGAGGTTCCAAAAAGCCTGTATCCCCAACCGCCAGGTGTTTTGGAGCGGCATGTTGCGTGAACATGCTCAACAATGGGCCGATACACATGGATTTCAAACATTGACAACTGCTCTCGGTCCACTGTTGTATCAAGCCCCTCCGAGATTCATTCATGGCGCCTCCATCATTTTCGCATGGTATGTCTCTCAAGGCGATTTAGTGACTGTACTTTCTCATCCCCCACCCCTGTTCTTTCACCCTTCTGGGCAAACGTTCTATCAACTATACGAAGAGCCCATCATCAAGGGTAAGAGGGGGAACAAGCCTGTGGGGAGGATTTATACAGCCCACCCGGCCGTCGAGACAGCCACCGACTTTATCTATCAGATATGGCCATGTGATATCTCGTGGTTTTGGATCAAGACGTTCGGAATTCCTGATATCGAATTCCGGTGGCGTAAAACCAAGACACTTAAACCCAGCACAAAGGTAAACGCTCATGGAGTACTAAACAGAGAAGAGAGGCACCACTTCTTCATACTGACTTCTTAACAGCCGGGACCAAACTTGAGCTCAGCATCATTATTGACTTCAAAAAGATCAGAAACTCAGGGCCCTGCCAAAAAGTCATTGCCTGATACAAAGAACGACACAAAAAAGGGCGGGCAACAGAAGACAAAGAAAAACAAGAAGAAGAAAGTGCCAAGTACTGTAGCTGACCAAGGGAAGAACCCAATTACTAAGAATTCACTAAAATCTGGCACTTCTAGCAACAAACAGAAATTAGTCAAAACAGCGGTGATAAGTAAGAAACAAAACATGGAGACCAGCATCAAAAAGAAGGCAAAGAAGAAGAAAAGGAAGAAGGGGCAGAAACTGGCTATAGAACAGGCTCAAGCTCAACCTAACGCAAAGCAGGGCCAGAAGAAGCTCGCGACAATGGCAAAAACCAAGGGTAGTAACACGGGAGCAAAGGCTAAGGCAACAACTAAGTCTGTAATAAAGAACGGCAAGTGAATGGGTTGTGACGCGGCCTGTATGCCGACTTGGGATTTCAAGGGCTGTAGTCAAGAATGTCTATCCTATCTGAGTAAGTGCTTGTACTATCTGAAAGAATGTCAGAGATTGAGTATTATTTTTGCTGTTTTGCCCCCCCGTTGCTGAGATATTGGTAGCTAATATCTAGATGGAGGCTTTTCTATCACCGATATCTGCTCAAATTCTTTTGTGACCCTGATTATCTGCCTTGTGCTCTCATCATCCCTGTCGCTCTCTCGGTCGTCTCCCGCCGCAACAGTAGCTCTGACATCTCCATCATAAATCGGATGATGCTTCCCACGAACCTGGCCAATAGTGACGAGATTGATATCGTCTGTCCCTCTGGCGTATGAGCTGTCGTCTTTTCGTAGTGCCTTGAAGAGCTTCCGAAGCATGGGCATTGATCCGGCGATGATGCCGAGGCTGCATTCGACTACTGTCCAGAGAATGATATTTCCGATGCCGTCTAAAAAAGTCAGCCAAAGCATAGATTATAGGCGCAAGAACTTACGGAGTTGATTAGAAGGCTGAGAATATGCAGGGGAGTATGGAAGTCGAACAATAGTTGCCACTGATGCCCTACGATGTGTCAGTCAGAATCGTCATGAATCGACCGAAGACCTACAAAGCGCCAATACCCATAACAACGTTCGCCATAATCTTCAGAGTCCTGTGCATCTGAACATTCCATAGAATGATCACTGGTAATATTGCAACAGACCAATCGACCACAATATTGATCCCCGATACAACGTATGTCAGTACTGAAAGTATACCCTGATCCATACATGTTCCTGTGCTTGGGTCCCACGATGCACTGAGTGGTCTGCACCTGACTAGTCCGATAATTCCTGCTACCAGTGTAATGAGAACTGTTAATCCTATCAGGCCCCAGAGAAACATCTTGATTCTCTTATTATCTGTAACGCGCAGTAGCTGAGCGCAGATGGATATCTTGATGAACATGGAGCTGCTAATATAGAAGATCTGCCAAAAGGTCACGGCCTAAAGTATGGTTAGAAGCAATAATGAAAACACTGGAAAACGTACCTTAAAGCCTTCCATAACCATGGCCGTATTGAGCTTGGAATCTGCTGTGCCAATGCCGGTAAAACTGCCCCAGATGACAACTCCATTGTGAACCAAGTTGAGGATCGCGCCAATGCACATGAGCCAATCCTCTAGTCCGAAGCAGTGATGCGTCACTCTAACCCAAATTCTCAAGCCGACAACAACAAGAATCATCGGCGTGAATACAATAGTGATTGCGAGAAGTGCTACAGCAAGACCAGTTGGTTTGACTGCGTGCCATGCTTCTGAAGCCTCTACCATAATAGGCAAGTGAAATATCGCGAAAACAATACGAAATGAGAGTCGTTGAATTCCTGATAACTTGGGATACAAGAGTACTTAGCCAGATGGCTCATGTCCGCGAGTAATTACCGTGGTCGGTTGCATGACCAACCCTGTTGATCTGTCCAACTTTAGCCAAAATGCTGACCATTATGCACCGGAAGACCAGCATCAGCTTCCGACGTCAGGAATTAAAGTTCAGTAGCTTGCAGAACCAACACAACAAGAATGGGAGAAGAGGCAACATGACAACAGTGAGTCGAATCTGGCTATGGATTCAGCATAACCCCTTCTCTGATACGTCTGAATGACGATGCGCTCGTAGAAACTACTAGATAATCCTTAAAATAAGAGTATTTAACCTCTAAGGCATTGTTACGATCCCCAGACGGAACCGAAACAGATCTAGGACCCTTGCAAGCCAGAAATCCTTGGCCACTGCATTGGGGTTAGCTGTTTCCCGGAACCAACACGAGGGAGTATCCGAAGTGGGCTAATCTAATCTGAGCAAGTTGGTGCACGAATGATAGAAGAATTCGTAGCAGGGAATTTCTACGACCGTCAGGGGAGTGCATCAGAGACTGCGTGTGGCTTGATGATCTGATCTGGTTGACAGGTAAGATGCAATTAAGTAGTCGGTCTTCCATGAGCGGTGAGAAGTTCATCTAGGAGAAGTCTTGTGAGTTTGAGTCAACGTGGTCGGCCTTCAAGCTCTCGATGGAATTAGCTCCGAAACCCGGGCTGAAGATCGAACTCAAACAAGTGCCAGACTGAAGCATGCAGATTTAAATACCAGGGTTTAATGCAATGCTCCACGAGCTGAACTCAAGGGCAATGAGGGGTTTAACAAGGATAGAAATAAAGCACGTCCCTCCATAACAAGGAGCGTTCTTTGCTTTTGCCCCTCGTTTGCTGTGTTCTCTGTTTCCACCATTCATTGAGCGGATCAATATGTCTGTCTACGACGTCAAAGGCAAGAATGCCATTGTAACTGGCGCAGGTTCTGGTATGCGACATTTTCTCATGACCTGCATCCAGAATGGACCATTGACATGCATCAATAGGTATCTGCCTCGCCTTTGCCCAGCAGCTTCTTGAAAATGGGTGCTCTGTTGTGATAGCTGATCTCAAACTGCGCCCCGAGGCAGGAGATCTGGTCAACAAGTGGACAACCACTGAGGGCGGCAAGCCCACTGTCCACTTTCACGAGACTGATGTTAGCGACTGGGCCCAGCTCTCTTCTTTATGGGACGCAGCGCTTGAGAAGCTTGGCCAGATCGACATCGTCTGTAATGGCGCTGGCATTTACGAGCCCCCATCAAGCACTTTCTGGAATCCTCCCGGAGTTTCTTCTTTATCTGAAGATAAGGTCGACGGTAATCCGGGTGTGTACAAGACCTTTGCTGTGAATGCACTAGGTCCCATCAGGTTGGCACAGATTGCGATGGACTACTGGCTGCAGAACCGTAACGTGCAAGGCAACCTCCTCTGGGTCGCAAGTTGTGGAGGATATTTGCACTCGCTACAGACACCGCTTTATTTCGCTAGCAAAGCAGCCATCGTAAGCTTTGTCAAATCACTATCGACAGTCCGCAAGCGATTCGGCATTCGCAATGCAGCCGTCTGTCCAGGTGCCGTGCACGTAAGTGACCTTACAAACAAACCTCCCCGTAACCCCTCGCTGATCCTCCATGTAGACGCCCATCTTTCACCCCGAGTACTGCCGTGACAGAATGCCACCATCTACTCTGGGACTCACCGCAGAACAATGCGCCAACGTCATGTTCCAGGTCCTCACCGAAGAGAAATACGGCGATGGAAACATCGTTGAGACGATGCTTATCGGGAACAGAGAGAGTAACTCGGTCAATGTGCGGGAGATTCCAATGGAAGCGCTTTACCCTACTGTTGTTGCTGAAGGTTCACATGATGGTCTTTATGAAGGGGAAGAGAAGTTGGCGAAACAGCTTGCGGAGAAGGGAATGAGAGAATGAGCCAAGATAGCGCTGGGATAAATAAGACATTGGCCTTTGATTTGATCATACATGCTGACAGTCAGTAACCGTGCTTACTGTTAACAAATGGTCATGCTTACGCTTGGCTTTGGCGTATTGCGGATCGGAAGCGGGTTCTGTGCGGACTTTATGCGGATCCAAGGGTCATGCTACTAGAGTTTGTCAGCAATAATATTCCGACATGAGTATCTCGTTACATTTGATAGATCCTTTGATGAGGATATGACGTCGCTGATTTGTCACACCAGAACGGAGATGATATGATAAAGACCTTGCTTCTACTCGATACGTCGATCAATCCTCCTACCTCCTTCAGAAATTGGCCTGCTTGTGAAATCACGAAGGAAATTATTAAAATGAAGTACTCATCTTGCTCACTATTCCTTTCAGCCTCACTCTTGGGGGGCACTGAAGCCCAGAATCTGGCTCCAGCTTTGCCTTTCTCCACAGGCTTTAACTCATCTTTCTCTCTTTCACCTGCCCAGATCAAAGGAGCCAATCTTTCAGACACTGTAGCCAGCAGTGTCAATACTGTCATCAATTTCCATCAATCCAGTCTTGCCAACGGCGGCCCAAAGCAAGATGACTTCTACACCCTCCCTGTGAAACCAACCGATCTTCGACCTGGTCAGGCCCTCAAGGTGCAGGAAGTAACAGACCCAGCTCCATTCTCGATCGCACCTGGATCGTCACTGAGCAGGATTCTTTATACAACTCGTAACTTCAACGGGACGATTATTCCTGCAAGTGCTTATATCCTCTGGCCGTTTCTGCCCCGTCAATTCAACAGCAAGTCGGACGATAAAGCTCCCGCGATTCTTTGGGCTCATGGAACGTCTGGCTTCTTTATAGACTCAGCACCTTCCGCTCATCGTGGCCTCTACTACGAGAACGTGGTCCCTCTGGCCCTCGCACAAGAAGGCTATGCAGTTGTCGCGCCCGACTATGCCGGTCTCGGAGTAGACAAGTCATGGGATGGCAGTGATATTCCGCATCAGTATTTTGCTACCCCAGCTGGTGCACAGGACACTCTCTTTGCTATGGAAGCTGCACTTGAGGTATTCAGCAACCGCCTTAGTGGGAAGTTTGCCATTATGGGCCATAGTCAGGGCGGCGGGGTTGCCTGGGGTGCAGCAGAAGCGCTAGCTAAAGGAAAGGATACCAGTGGAAGAAGGGCTTTCGTAGAGCTCTTGAAGGGCTACGTTGGCACCATTTCGATTGCACCCGTCACGAAGCCTTTATCTACTCCTCGACTCTTCAGCAGCTACAGTGCATCCATAGCGTTATCAAGCATCTTTCCCGACTTCAAGCCCAGCCAGTGGCTGACCCCACTGGGTGTCGCGAGACAAAAGCTGATGAAGCAGATCGGAGGAAGCGTTGCAGCTGGACAGCAGCTATTCTTCACTGAGTCGCAAAGCGTATTCGAGAAACACGATTGGTACAACTCTTCTTACCACGCTGCTGCCTTTGATAAGCTCGGTATTGTCGGAGATAAACCATTTGCAGGTCCTCTTTTGGTGATTCAGGGCTCCGAGGATGTTTTCATCGCGGCTACGACCACCAATGAAACCGTCACAAATACCGCGACTCTATATTTGAACGGCTCGTTGAGTTATATGTATGTTGATAAATTCGGTCATACTCCTATCATCTCAGGTGTCCGAAGCCTCTGGATGGCGTGGCTAGAGGACAGATTCGAGGGCAAGAAACAGCAAAGAGGACTGGAAAGAACATATGTCAAGGGATGGCTGGGCGATGATAAGCACTTCTTTGGAAGCAACGGATATCTTCAGTGGAGCGGAGCACCAGAGTATACGTATCAGAACCCGGGGGCAGTCTAGCTTTGAGTATTGCATTGAGATGCTTTCCACATAACCAATGTTGATAAAACAAGCGGAGACTTGAAGGAATGTCATGACTTCTCATCTCTTGCTTTGTGCCATACACCGCCATATTATGAATCGACAAGCTTCTTAATAAATCCGCCACCTAGCATAAAAATGCACACTCTTGTCATTCCTAACTCCATTATATAAACAGTCTGTTCATAAATCCCCTTCATGAGCAATGTTACAGATATCTCCTAATCCTATCGCGCAACGCGAAAAGACACAGCCCTCAGTCAAACCCATATCTTGATACCACCTTAATTTCCAAAGCGGTTTCCGAAGACAATCCAGTCCGTTGGTCAGAAGTGTGCCAAAAAGTCCCAGTCGAAGAAGTCTGCTGGGTTGCCTTGGGAGAAGCCCAAAGGCCAGGAGTTGTCCATGTTAAGGTGTGACGTTTTGGATTCATCATCAACCGGATTCGAAGCATGGTCATTCGCCTCGATGAAGTCTTGGAGTTCCTGGAACTGGTATTCCTGCACTTTGGCTGCCAGCATTTGGCGAAAGCCTGGGTCAGCAACCCCCCAATGTTTGAGTTTCCCTTCAAGTCTTCGCTTCTTGGTTTGGACTGATGGCCCAATAAAGGTGTCCCGATAGCTGGAGATGCTGACAGAAGCTAGCGTGCTGAGGTTGTTCAGAGTCTGGTTGGCCAAAGGTTGGTGATCTATAGATTGAGAAAGTCAGCGTCTTCTGGTTGGCCGCCATGGTTCTCCTGGTACCTGGTCTTGACCGAATAGTAAATGGCCAACCGTACATGGTGTTGATGGTTTTTGCGCTGGTTCCTGGTCAGGAAAGATGATATCGTACAACACGAACCACCTCATCTCATCGCTCATGTTGGTCTTCTTCTTCTTTTTCGCTCCCAACTTGGTTGCTTGCTCCAGTGTGATCTTGCCTACAGTGGTCTCAGGGGCGTTGATAGGACATGGATCCTCCTGGCGCTGATGCTGGAATAGCAGGTCTTGCGACACGAAGCTCTCGTGACAGCGGTTGCAGGCAAAGGTATTAATAAAAGCTGCAGGAATGTGGCATCGCTGTATGTGTTCTCTAAGTACAACCTTACTTAGTACTTACAGACTCCATGCAGAGGTAAAGCAGTCAACCTACTTGACACGATGTATCGTGGGCCATCCGTGACCCAAGCAAGCGCGTTTGAGCTCCGATCTATTCACAGGGCCTTTAAAGAATGGGCAGGCGAACCGTGGTTGACCATGTGCGTCTTTCTCTGGCCTCGGCACTATGGCTGCCTGTTGGTGGCACCCAATGTCTGTGCCAATATCATAAACGACATCGAGCTCTGATACCTTTCTTTTCCTTTGGCCTGGGGCTGGTCCGTGATGAGTGGCCTATTGTAAGATGATCGTTAGCTGGAACATCGTCGGCCGTCGTCTTCGTGTCTATCGTTTTCTGTCCATTGTGTCGCCAGTTTAAAGGTAAACTATGTCAGGCTTTCGTTGAAAGTTGCGTCCAGATCCAGGTGTCAATATCCCCGGGGGCCTTGGAGAATAGCATATAGACTTTGTTATTGAGTACGTGCAGAGCGTATGGTCCAGTCCCAGGTCTTTTTTAGCTATCGTGTCGTAGATTAGTTACAGAGAGTATGTCGTTCGTTTATAAACCTTGGTTGTAGAATAGATGGTCTCGTGTAGGGAAATCCTTAAGCGTGAGCCCTGACATCCTGCTTATGATCCATGGGTAAAGGTCCTCGTGTAAGTAAGTGGTCGCTTTGCCGGTGAATAATCCAGTGGTCCATCCCAGGAGGTTTCCTGTCAAGAAAGCATTGTAAGCGTTAGTCCGTTGAAGATGCTCCCATACAGCGTCGGCTGAAGTCCGTAGATAACGTAATCTTTTTGCAAGTAGCCAGGTCCATGAAAAAGTCCAGGTTCGCACTCCCCATATAGCTTCAGCCTGAATATTATATAATGCAACGCTCGGGAGGATCTATAGGAGACAAAGTGGGTGCGACTTTGTAAAACACTTTCATCCTCGACCGAGTCATATTTGCATATGCCTGTGAAATGAATTGGAATGACTTGAATGCGCGTCATAACTACCTCGACATAAGGAAATAATTCTGACGTACCTATGAGAAGGTTAATATTTTAGCCGGGTTTATCGGCACTCGTTAGAGAATACCCCGATGGGCATCCATGCCAGAGGAAGGGTCTTTAATTACCATGCTTTTTTCGATAGCAATAACAGCTCTAGACCCTATAGCTCAAGCTTTCCTTGTGTTTTAATAGGACTGGGAGAAGATGATAGGTAAGAGATTCAAGAGATGAGACAAAATAATCAAGAGACTTGTGGGGATATATAAACGTCTTAAAGTCATCTGGCTGTATCCTATTCTGGCGGTTGCGCATTCGCGCATTCCGCAATTACGGCTCGGGCGGTTGGGTGTTGATGCCCAACCAACCGAACGAGCTGAAAATGGCGGCCAGTAGTCCTTGGGCATTATCTGGGCCTAGATATCGCCACGGAAGGCAGGGATTGGGTTTTCGCTGCAGCATACATCGATCGTTAGTGGAGTACCCTGCTACTTGCTCGCCATGATTTATTATAGGATCATAAAGACCGTCCCCGCTCAACCTCTTCAGCCATAATTTATGCAATATCCTTACAGGATAATTTCCCAAGCCTAATAATGCACGGCGCTCAATGCACAGTCAGAATGTATTCACCGCAAAAACCCTGGCTCCTGCAGTGACGACAGATAACGTGCTTCTCGATGAACCGTAAACACCATTTGCATTTATGCTGTCAGTCCACGACACTAGTAGGTTTGCGTTGGTAATATAATACCTAGCAACTGGACCGTAAGTACATACGACCATACCTATCAGAAAATTCGGGATCCCGTCTGCTCTCCTAAAGACAAGCTGATAAGGGGCGGATTAGTAGTTAGGACGGTGACGACTAGCGAATACCCGCTGTTGTATGTTTTTTTTTTTTGCCACTGTTCTTTATTTGTATTCACAAAGTTCCTCATATACCCTTATAACAAAGATTCAACCATAGAGCATCACACTTTTGCCAGCTTGACGTAAACGTTCTTCGGTGACCGCGTCAGCGCCAGCATCTCATCCTCCGTCGCCAGCTCAGGTTTCACTGGCTCCAACTTGAACGTCCAGAAGAGCAAAGTAAGAAATATCTTTATCTCAATGTAAGCGAGCTTCTTGCCAAAGCAACCACGAGGTCCAAGTCCGAATGCCTGAGATGGTCTCTTTTGTGGATCAAACGCCGTCTCTTCCTCGCCTTCCCCATTAACAGTGGTCGTGAGCCACCTTTCGGGAACGAATTGCGCAAGGTCTTGTTCATCAAAGAGTTGTGTCCTTTCCATGTGTGCCAAAGCAGCTTCGGATCGCTTTTCTGTGTTGACTGGGATACTGGGCATCATGACGCCGGGGCCGTTGCCGAGGAAGCCCACTGTTGTTCCCTTGGGGATGAAGCGACCGAGGATCTGAGTATCGGTGGTGGCTTGGCGAAGGGTGACTGGGGCGACGCGTGAGTGCCTTAGCATCTCTTCGATGACAGCGTCGAGGTATGGAATGTGAGCTTTGAGAATCTCCTCAGCTGTTGGGGCGCGGTTGTCCTTTGTGGCTTGAGTATGTGCGTTTCCAATGGCTTCACGGAGGAGTAATTGTACGCGCTGGTTGGCAGTCAAATACTTCATTCCCCAACGGAGAACAGCTGAGGTTGTTTCATGTCCGGCAACCAAGTATCCCATCAACTTCGAACGGTTAGCCGAATCACTCACAGCACATGATAATGCAAGTGCTAACATACCTCGCTCATGATCGTCTGGCTTCGATAGTTGGGCTTCCGCCCTTCTTTCTCAGCAATGGCATCCTCTCTCGCAAGCATATTGTCCAAAGCACAGCGTTGAGGCTGACCTGACTCTCTTCGCTCAATGCTCTTGGCAATCTCACGATCTCTCAATCTATCACGCCCCGCCCTTGCCCTTCGCATCTTTGGCGAGAGATTTCGGTAGAGAAAGTGATGGATGGTGGGAAGAGGCGACCTCATGGACAGACCGACACTGTCTGCCAGAGTGGTGAAGCAACTCTGTTCTTCGTCGATAGAAACGTCCTCAAACTCGAACAGGTCATCCTTTCCACCTGAAACGGTTCTGGCCTCGAGCTCTTCGAGTTGTCTGCCGATCTGACCATCTCCAGAGTCGATGCCAAAGGAAGCACTGAGAATGATATCAAGCGCTGAGTTATGGATGTCCTGAGCTATGTCGAATGGCCTGCCGCCTGATAGGTCTAGCTTGCGATCCCAAAGCTTGAGAAGACTACTGAACTTGTCGTGGATCTCTGGAGCCGAGGCCTGTTGAATTCAGTAAACGCTCTGATGCATGGTAGGTGTCTTGTTACCTGTTGAAGAAAAGTTGGCGCCATCAAATCACGAATCAATTCCTTATTCTTCTTGAACTTCGGATCCGATGATTTCAGCGTGATGTGATGGCCCGGGACAACGCCGTTGAACTGCTCCCACGTCACATCACTTCTGTCAAACTCCTTCAATCGACGCATGCAAATATCTGACGCCTCAAAGTAATCCGCCACGAAGACCCACGGTGCTCCAAACGGTCTCATGAAGACCTGAACAATTGGCGATTGATGTCTCGCAGGTTGCTGCGCCCACCATTCTCGGCGATTGGGAGCATCTCTGAACTCGGGGATGTCGCCCATGAAGGATTTGACCGCATTTTCGTTATACGGGATACCTGGGATTGGCTTGGGGAGTAGCCAGCGTCGGAGGAGGTAGAGAGCGCTGAGGATTGAGAAGCCTAGGGCTAGGGTGAAGTCTTTTGGAGCGCGCTCCGATAGCTCAATGAGACGGGACAACATGATGGCTGGTTGCAGAAGCGACAAAGCAAAGTTTACTGGGCGTAGCAGGTCTATATACGCATTGTCAACGGCAGAATCGGTAAGACGACAGTAAACTTTAATCCGAGAGGGAATTGCCGATGTTGCTGGGATCTTGCATGCCCATTAAATGCCTTCTTATTGGTTCATCGCAGCATATTTCCGCAATCTTATTAGTGGAGGCGCAAGGCTTGCGGGGTTGCGCGATGTCATCTTTTAGCGCTTTGGGGCGTCCAAGACGAGACCGATTGTGATAAGGGTATCTTGAGCTAGCTAATGGCTTGTATTGATACCAAACTCAATTCATCGTGGAGAACTTTACTGCAGCGACACAAGTAAGAGTGCTACACCGTGGTACCTTGAGGATCCAATATGAAAGCGAAAAGGATGAGGAACAGCTTCTGGATCGGGAAATTCCCTCGAGATGGAGGTCACCGTCTGAGGTAAGCGGAGTTGACCACTGATATCAGATTGAGCGTTACTGCTTATCTGTGTCACATGAAACGTCACACTAAAGAGTTCAGGATGTTCCCGCTCCCGCGGAGGCCGACTCTATGCCGGCGTCACATCAAACCAACAACAGAACTATAATCAGTACACCCGATCATTTAGACCATTTTAGATGACAATGAAAGCCTATATTTCCCTAATTATCAATCTATGAGAGGATATGAAAACAGATCAGTAAAGAAAACCGATATCATCTTGCGCACGAGAAGGACTGACTTCCAGCTTGACTCAAAAGCAACGACTAAGTAGGACTTGCAGGAATTGATTACATACCATAATATAGAAAAAGGTATTAGACATTTGAAAGGAAACTTCACCTTGATCTGCTACGATAGCTTAAGCGGCGAGGAGAACATATAGTGGAATGAAAGGAAATCCATCAATGTTCGACGATACCTTACCCATCCGAGTGGTGATGGAATTTTCTTTTTCTCTCTGTATACCTTAAGAGACTTTCTATGGTGTTTGCGAGGTCGTCGAGCGTCCTTGTCTCTCTCTAACCTCCTCTGCTGCTGTTGCTGAGCCTCTTCTTCTGCTCGTTCTAATTTCCTCTGCTCTCGTCGCCTGCGTCGTCGGCTATCTCGTCTATGTCTAGCAATATCGCTGCTCGTTCCTGGGTCTCGATTGATATTGTTTAGATACCGCAGTGGATAGAATACCAAGGTTTCTTCTGCTTCTGATGTGACCGGAGGTGTCACTGGGATCACTGGGATCTCGATGTTTTCTGATGCCGTAGAATCGTCTCCAGTCGTGATGCCTCCCATCTCGACATTGGCACCTTGAACCTGGGCTTCGGGGTCTTCATCTCCGGTGTGCGCTTCTTCCGGTTGTACCTCAAGCACTCGACTCTCTGATCCTTCTAGAGAGCTATCCTGGCCTTGGCGTTGCTCAATGGCGTTTCTCATCTCCTCGTTTTCTTGACGAAGCCGATCATTTTCCCGTTGCAACTCAGCGAGCCGGTCATCCTGAGTAACTTGAAGGGCCAGAGGCTGTACTGGCCCATCGCCTGATGTGACAGATGTTTGGTCATCATGGGCCATTGTGGTTTGACAAGCGACCGCTTCATCCTTTGGAACTTCAGTCTGTGTGGAGCTGTCGTGTCTAGAGATCATCTTTTGAAGGCTCTGTTCGAGTTGCTTTTGAAGTTCCCCTTTATTAGCCTCGAGCGACAACTTCTCGCCCTGTAGTTTCCTTATGTCTCTGCCTGCTTTGTGAAGCATGTCATCAAGGAACGTATTGCGGTCTTGGGCCGCGTCAATGTCCGCCTCGACCTTCTCACTCCAGCCCGCCAGTTCCTCGAACCTCTCTTTAAGCGGTTTGTTGTATTTGTTCTCAATCAACTCCCTTCGTCTTGCGTCCCGTTTCTTACGAAGTCTGGAAGGAGTGGCCTTCTGTACTTCTGAGTTTTGTTCACGCTTTGAGGGCTGAATCTTCGGTTCTGGTTCCGCGATCGAACTTAGACGCTGAGTAAGAGCTCTTACCTCTTGTTCAGCTTTTTCAAGTTTCAGGTTCGCTTGATTCAGTCTCATCATCAGAACGTGCACATTCTGCTTAGCTGCGAAGCCGAAGTGCCATTCTCGATAGGTTTCGTATATTTCAAATAAGGCTTTAGGGACACTGAAAACTCTTTCGAAATGTTCCGGTGCCTTTGGTAAGTCCGGCTCTGGTTCTTTAACTTCTTCATCATTGATGCTTTCTTCCTGGATAGAGCTCGCAGGGCTACTGTCAGGGGAGCATGACCGTGATGGCACGGATGATGACTTTGATGAATACGCCAACGATGTATGTGAGTAGCGTCGATAGCTATATGACGGGTTCGACGACTTCAACGACGGTTGCGGTATCCCGGTAAGAGATTCGCAGGGCGAGGGACTCATCAGTGGCTTACAATGTGGTGGTGGCAATCTAACAGAATCTGATGTGTGAGGGTTTTGTGCCGATTCGGCTTGGTCAGTGACCAAGCGGTATTCTGAAGGACCAGCAGTAGTCATGTCGTATTACCTAAAGCTTGATAGACCATAACATGATAAAGGCGACAGAGGCTTCGATTTATAAGGATTCTACATTGTTGGAAGGTACTTCGAAGAGCCTCAGAATGAGCCCAATATGGACTGACCTAATTGGCACACACAATTGTGTACAGAGAGCCTACATCAATGAGCTGCATTTTTGGGGGCCTCAAAATTGAGGGCGTTCGTCAGCAGACTTATCTGGGCGAATAATAAGCAATGTGCTCAGCCAACTACGCCTTACATGCCATGGGCTTCGCGTTTTCGTCAAAACGCGACGCGATAACTATAACTTCATCTTGGGGGTGGGAAAGTGCACGTCGGCTACGAGCGGTTGTTGCGCTTCTTGCACTTTACGGCGCAAAGGAAAGTCTGAGTTGTCCGTCTTTGTGTGACTCGAACCCCCACGACGCGAGTGCTCAGGCTGACCTGAATCGCCAACAGCGGCTGGAAATATTTGGGGGTCGGATCTACAGCCTGGCAGCTTTCGGACTTTCGAGCCCGGAAGGTTCGGATATCGAGTTGCAGCGAAAGTGCATCTACAATCATCGTCAAGATGCCACGTCGATTTGCACATGTCAGTCACGATGGTAGGCAGTGGGGGGCAGTGGTGTTGACGCTCAGGCTAGACAAATCCGTGCATCAGTTGTTCATCCCTTTAGAATCATTTCTATAGACTGTATTGTTACTTGCTGTGGTGACCTGTATTGGCCTATTGCCACAAATGTACTTATCAGCTCTGATCGATTTTTTCCACTGGACTTACCTGACGTTGCTGTTTTCTGGCCGTTAAAGCAAGCAATTACAAGCTTGTTCAATTGAGTAAATGAACTGCTGAAGGCAACGTTACGCCCGGCTAAAATCCATATATAGCTAATGAATTCGGGAAAATCCCATCTATCTGATCATCTCAAATCAATAGCATGATATTACACTACTCCACGTGGGAGACTATCACCCTCCGGGGCCCCGGATCGCAACTCCAAAACCCATCGCGACATACCCTGTACCACCGGCTAACCCTCCGATTGGCTCCATTTCTTGGCGGTGAAGGACGGAGTTTCCGCGATCCTCGTCCAATGACGTATTTACGGGGCATATCGGCTAATCACCGGTTTATTCGCTGTTCATGCAACAAAGCTCAGGTAACGCGATGAACTGATAAATACAAGCAACAACACCTCCGCTCCCTTTCAAGATGAGGATCTGCGAGGTACTTCCTGACATGATGTGGTCGACTAAACTCTTGTGTCTTGCACTGCAAGTCGCGTCTTCATTCTCTCTCCCTGCTGAGATTCCGACCGAAGAGTATCCATCGCGTAAGCTTCGCCTAGTAACTTTGACCCCTGATGGCGCTAACCTAACCTCTTGACAGCGCAAGGAACTGGCAAAGGAATTTGGAAAGATGCATACGAAAAAGCACAGCAGTTCGTGGATCGATTAACGCTTGAAGAGAAAGTCAATGTCACGCGTGGTTTTGCAGCGGATAATGTTTGTGCCGGCAACACGGGTACTATTCCACGCCTTGGGTGGCCGGGTTTGTGTCTCCATGATGCAGGCAATGGAGTGAGAGCGACGGATTTTGTCAATTCGTATCCTTCTGCTCTGCATGTTGGGGCGAGTTGGGATAAGAATTTAACGTATCAGAGGGGGTATTATATGGGGAAGGAATTCAAGGCCAAGGGAGGTGAGTATCAGCATCTTGGGTGGATTTCTCATACTGACCATGGTCAGTCAATGTCCTTCTTGGTCCAAATGTTGGGCCATTGGGAAGAACACCTCTTGGCGGACGAAACTGGGAGGGTTTCTCGGTTGATCCGTACCTGACGGGCCAACTCAGCGCAGAGTCCATCATCGGGCATCAAGACGCCGGAGTCATCGCCAACGTCAAAGTCAGTACCTCCTCCCATCCACCAACACCACTAACAACCACAGCACTTCATCGCCAACGAACAAGAAACCTACCGTCGTCCTTACTTTGGCATTGAAGCAGTATCCTCCAACGTCGACGACAAGACTCTTCACGAGTATTATCTCTGGCCCTTTGTGGACTCGGTAAGAGCAGGCGTCGCGTCGGTGATGTGTTCATATAACCGCGTCAACGGAACTTATGCCTGCGAGAACAGCAAGCTCATGAATGGACTTCTGAAGACTGAGCTTGAGTTTGAGGGGTTTGTGTTGCTGGATTGGAACGCGCAGCATAATCTTGAGAGCGCGAATGCGGGACTCGATATGGTCATGCCAATGGGTGGATTCTGGGGGGAGAACTTGACGATGGCTGTTGAGAATGGGACAGTTAAGGAGGAGAGGGTCACGGATATGGCTACCAGGCAAGTATCACCAAACACTGAGTGAGTGTTTACTGACGATGGCAGAATCCTGGCCGCTTGGTACCTCGTTGGCCAAGACGTCGACTTTCCGACCCCCGGCATCGGAATGAAGAACCTCTCCCTTCCCCACGAACAAGTCGAAGCTCGAATCTCTGAATCACGGCCAACTTTGCTCGAGGGTGCCATCGCAGGGCATGTACTGGTCAAGAATGAAAACAACACTCTTCCCTTTGCTCAGAAGCCCAAGATGATCTCTGTTTTCGGGTACGATGCCACCGTCGCCAAGACGAAGAATACGGATAATCTTTTCCAGCTGGGATATACCTCTTCGCCTGAGATGGGACAGGCTGTTCTTGGGACTGAAGAGCACTTTGACCAAGCTGCCAAGGGAGGGACTATTGTATCGGGTGGTAGGGCAGCCGCTAACTCACCACCATACATCAGCGATGTAAGTTTTCTCTCTTTCCCCCAAGAAATCTACTAAAAAGATACAGCCCCTTAGCGCGATTCAGCAGAGAGCCGCAAAGGATGGAAGCTGGGTGAACTGGGACCTCTCATCCTCCAACCCCGACGTGAACGGCGCAACTGATGTCTGTCTCGTCTTCATCAACGCCATGGCAACAGAAGGTTGGGACCGCGATGGTCTTCACGACGACTTCAGCGACGCACTGATCCTTAATGTTGCATCGAAATGCGCCAACACGATTGTTACAATCCACGCAGCTGGGATTCGTCTCGTTGATCAGTGGATCGAGCATCCTAACATCACAGCAACAATCATCGCTCATCTTCCCGGTCAAGATAGTGGCGAGGCGCTTGTGAAGCTTCTTTATGGTGAGGCCGATTTCTCAGGAAAGTTGCCGTATACCCTGGCCAAGAACGAGAGTGATTATACGCCGTACAAGCCCTGTGGACTGGAGGAAGGCAGCAAGGATCCGCAGTGCGACTTCACTGAAGGCGTGTATTTGGATTACCGCTCTTTCGACGACAGGGATGTCACCCCGAGGTTTGAGTTTGGGTTTGGCCTTGGCTACACCGAGTTCGAGTACTCTGACTTGGTAGTCAAGGTTGCTGAGACAAGTGCTTCGGCTGCTGCTACCGATCTCTGGAGTACGTTTGCTACCGCCCAAGCCACTGTCTCAAACGTTGGAAAGCGAGATGGCGAGGAAGTTGTTCAAATGTACGTCGCTATTCCAAACAGTCCTCCCAAGCAACTCCGAGGTTTCGAAAAGGTCAAGATCAGCAAGGGAGAATCTGCTGATATTCCATTTGAGCTCACAAGACGTGACCTGAGCATTTGGGACGTTGTCAAGCAAGACTGGACGCTTCAATCAGGCAACTACACCATTTTCGTCGGCTCCAGCAGCCGTGCCCTCCCCCTAAAAGAATCATTTACCATAGAGGTTTAGAAGCCAAATCTATAAACTTTTTAATTACAAAACCATATAAGAATAAACGAGTTACTGTGCTCCCTCATTACTGGCACTTAATCCCCCGCACTGTTCAAGTATCAACCCCGGGACTCCAAACCGCGGTAGTAAAACCCTCGCTTTTGCAAGCTGCGTAGATAGCCAAGTCTGATTCGTCTTGCTGAGTGCTACAGAGAGCGACCACATGAAACGGTAGACTTGGCGGGGGTCTTCTTCGAGGGCTTTCGTGGCGACGCTGAAGATGTAGGATAGGGAGGGTTCTGGCTTGAAGGGCGTTTCGTTGTAGGTGTCTAGGCTGGAGCAGAGGATCTGCAGGGCGTGGAAGTCAAGGGCGGCTGCATAGACTGTCCACATGAGGCGTTTTCCTCCAGAACTGGGAGTCTTTTTGGCGAGGAGGAGAATATCGACGAATTCCTGTGGTCGTTAGTTATATTACATGCCTGGAGAGATGAGTTGCCATACCTCACCGAAGTTTTCGACATGCCGCCAGAGTTTCTTCAGATCGTCGTATCCACCGTGCGTCGTTGACCGTGCTAGTCTGAGAAGCTCAAGTTTAGATCCTTGACAGAGGTGATATAATCGGAGAGGGCGATAATTCTCCATATCGTCGAGGAGTTCTGATATAGGATATTGCTCACCCCACATCTTGGGAAGAGCTGATCGAACACTGAGGAAGAGATGTTCATGTGAGATGTAGTCATGAGCGTCGCGTGATAGAAAGTCAAGACAGAACTGTCCGCTGTTCATGTTGCCTGTTGCCGAGTCCGCATCGAGGTATCTATAACTGTCAGTAAATGAAACTGTAGTTATAATCAGTGACCTTACAATGTATACAGCAGCATCGCCTGCGCAACGCACGGTAACTTCTTCCCAGTCGCCTGTCCATCATCCCGCAAATACGGGCCCAAAAATAACCGTATTCCATCAAGATGCAGCAGCGACGCCCCCGTAGTCTCTGAATCACAAGCCTCATATCTCAAAATCAGAAACCACATCGTAAATAGCGCATCGATATCGCAATCCTGCTCCGGCGTCTGACAAATACGATCCAACAACGATGATAGATCCTTTAGCGCTTGTGTATAATGCGCCGCCGCCGCCGCTGCTAGGCGACTCGCCCTCTCCAACGAGACACTCGTATCGACGACTTCCTGCGCAATAAGAAGCTCCCTCGCTCGTAGCTCCATATTCGCGACTGCGATGAAACTCCTCATTACGCCGG